AGGTTTTAAGTTTCAGTGAGGGATACAATGTTAAAGTGGGTGATTGTATGTGTTCAGGTTATACGTATAATGTATTGTACTAGTGACTTCTTCATCAATCCTGGGTTTAGTGCTGTTGAAGATGCTTAAATATTTGTGTAAAACGTGTGCAGTCATACAGTTTTGGAACGAATATTGTTTGTGTGCTGAAAATAGCGCATCATCAGAGTGAATTGACTCACTGACAAATACTTTCAGTATGAATTTATATTTTGAATTAAACTGGTTTCAAGGCTTATTGTACACGTGCACATATCTGTTACTTAATGTACACTTTTTAAATGAACATAATTGTGATCAATACTGTCTCCATTTGTTATTGTATTGCTTTCAAGTCCATTCAAATAGAAGTTGTGAACAAGCGATATATTGTCAAACGCCACCTCATTGAACAAGGTTGTGCATATTTAGTCAATTAAATAATTGTTTAGACATGTTGGAATGAATATATATTCCACAAATGTGTACCCGTTTTCCAGGATAACATTTTGATTGTTAGTTTAGGTTCATGGTTATCCTTCGTGTTACTTTATTGACAAGGATGTACATTGAGCCACTTTTTTCACTGGCAAAACATTTTTCTCCAAAGTTTGTTTAAATGTACATCATGAAATAAATGACTGATTTGTCAGTTGGGATAACAGTCCAGTCGTAGTATGTGTTAATCGGATATGACAACATGTCCACAATTTTCTTGTCTGGTCAGTGACCTGTAATGTCTGATAAAATAATTACAATATTAAGAAATGCAGATTGCAATGACAGGCTCAGCCATAAAGATGTGATACTAAATATTGTGAAGTTTACATTCCGCAAATTACAACTTTTGCGCTTTTTTTTTTTTAAAAAGGTGCCTTTTTGTAAAACGATTAATGTCTCCAAGCATAGCTTCTTGATAGTGAAAGTCAGTATCTCCATGCTTAATTAATTATTGATGTCGGCACCTCTGAGCCAGTGAATACAATTATGCATGGCTCTGAAGTGCTTTCAGGTTGCAACTCGTTTATTTACGTGGCTATTAACTTTTATTAATGTGACACATTGTATTAATCTTGGAGAGATGTTGGGCTAACCCTAACTTTGATTGGGATTTCAATTTGCAACTTTCCATTTGTCACTGCCATTGCCACCTGACTGTCAAAACATTTTCCTCCCTCGTGTCACCTGCTCAAGAACTCCAACAGATAAACTACTCACACTACCAACCTCACCTGAGAATACATTTCTATATTGAAAAAAAACTATGCAGCATCATTTGTATAGACAACTTGATAGTATTCAGTTTTGCTGACAATAGTTTTGTCAGCCCCCTCCCCTGTCACATTCTGTAGTTCAATATGTAGTTAAACTGTAACAAAGTAGAAATTTATGCACCTTAAAAAAATGGAGAATAAATCTAAACCATTCAAAATCGCATGAAAATGAAAAGCATAAATGTTGAGCCCGTGTGACAATGGACGAAGCATTTGCCTCGCCACTCTCCCTAAATGACTTCCAAGTGAGGCAGTGTGGTGATTCCAGAGTGTGAAGTTTATCAGAACTTTTTGTGGTGAGGCATGGTGGCACAAGGGTTTACAGCAGGAATGGCCTGGGTTTGACTTCACTCAGGAGCCACTGGGTTTAATGTTATCCACCTTCTGCATGAATTTCCTCCGGGTTTTCCAGTTTCCTACCATAGATAAATATATATGTAACTGGTGTTGGCCAAACATCTCATTGCTGAAAGTTGACTTTGAATTTAATTGGGTTTACGCAGGAAAACATTGCATGACGTTCCTGACAAAAGTTGCTTGGGCTTTCCCGAATACAGAAGCGGAGTGATTACCCTAGTCACGGTGACAAGAGGGTCGAGTTTGTAAATCGATGCTTTCATGTACTCCACATTGCATTTGAACCTAACTAGTAATGCCACCAGCGATTGCCACTTGATGTAGGTCTTGATAACCATCAGTTATATTACAGTTACTGATAAAAAACGACCTCGCCTTGTGCGTGCTCTCCCGAGCTCGCAATGTCTTGCATCTCAGGTTTTTCAATTGCCCTTAATATTGAGGTGAACTGTAACTGTCCTACACAGTCGATGTCACCAGAGAATAAACTTAATATGCACAAGTCATTCATGTGCACACATCTCAAGATAAATATATTCATACTCAAGCAATCATTACATTTCAATACTGTTGTAAAACGGGTACACAGACTAATCAAAGGACGAGAGGTGGCCTCCAACCACCATTTTGCACCTTGATCGGGCAGCAGTCCTTGAATACTTTTTGATGTCTGCCAGGCAGAGGGCTACACAAACCCACGTCTGTGTTTTGCTGTGAAATTTACCTTGCCAAGAGATGAACACAAGGGCTTTACTTCTTGTTCCTGGGACATGACCCAAACAGATGCCTTCACAAAATGCTTCCTGAAGCTGAGCAAAATGCAATGACTAAACGAGCATGCCAATCAGGACCAGAGTACCCTGCAGCTCCGTTTAAAAAAAAAAGTATTGCTTCGGAGGCCTCCATAAATGACGTCACGCACCTGGGGGGGGGGGGGGGGGGATCAGACATTTGTGACTGTGATGGGGGGGGGGGGAGAAATGTGACGTCACATCAAAATGCGCAACTTTGAATAGACACGTTCTACTTAATTAAATGGACTTTTTAATACATGTTTTCTCCTACAACATCAGATTGCAGCGCCACATTAAATACGCACTACAATGACTAGTTTAAAGCGATTTGAAGCATGTTTTTTTTGGGGGGGGGGGGGGGGCAGAGCTTTGTGACGTCATGTTTTAGGGGGGGGTTAAAAATCGTCCAAAATCGCGTGACGTCATTTATGGACGGCCCCTTAGCACAGACTCAAAACGCCGAACAGCCAGAAATATTAAAACAGAATTTCTAAAGTTCTTCACCAAAAGCAAATCTCGCAAGATTATATAGGACTTGACTATCAGAGCCATCACAGGATAGCTTCCAAGAAGCCCCTTTGCTCCTGTTTTATCAGGCTGCTCGCCACACCAATACGTGTGCATGAGCACATGGAAAACAAAGGTTCACAATGGCCCCGACATGCATAAAGATCATAGGAAGTCAAGTGACAAAAGCTCTTTTAGCATGAACCAAGCAGAGCATGAGGGTCATAAGATGGGACGAGTTCTGCTTCAAGACCACCCTGTACTTCAGGACGACTCGTCCACGCTAAACGATGAGACCCCCCAGAGCCGGCCCAGCCACTAAGCGACCCTTGCAATTGCAAAGGGCCCCGTGGCCAGCAGAGGGCCCCCTAGAGTCACTGCTAGCTAGTGGGTGAAAAAAATCATACATCAAAGGGGCGTCCAACCAAATTTTGCTTAGGGCCCCCAAAGGTCTAGGGCCGGTTCTGAGACCGCCCCCTCCACTGCTGAGCTCGCCTCGATTGCGCAGGGGATGAGCCTGCAAGGTGCTCGGACTTTAAAATCGAGACACGTTAGGCCTGTTTGACTAGCGTTGAAAAATACCATTCAGTTAACTGGAAGTGCTCAGGTAATTTTAGTTTCCATTAGACCTCGGAGGATTTACTTGAGAGCATTGTGCTGCAGCCTGCCGACAGTAATTCCCATTTTATGGTGAGAGCTCCCAAGCAGGAGGTTCATCATGGGAGAGAAAGTCAGTTTTTTTTGCACTCAAATAATTTCCTCTCCATGTCACCACCACCACCCTCGTCGCTCCCATCTTGGAATTATGCCAAGCAGACTTGACACTTGCAGATGTGCAGAAAGAGGCCATTCGTGAGTGTCTACCCTGGTGCACATACTTTACTCGAGACAACTTAGGAGAACCACCCTGTACTGCGGTGATAACTGCGTTAACACATTCCTGCGGAGGGAGCTGGTAGGAACGTTGGGTTGCTCGGTCAATGGCCAGGGTCAACGGCGGCGTGGTGTATTCCACAAATATGCCCGACTGAGGGCGGGTACAAGCCGGCGTGAGTAGGTTAAACGTTGAGTTTTATAAGGGCACCACGGGGTGACCAGCCCCTCCCCACCCAGCCCCACCCCTCCCCAACCCACCTCCCCACCCAGCCCCTCTCCACCCAGCCCCTCCCTGCACGACAGACACAATAATCCCCTGTGGGCTGGTGTAACCAGGAGGTTCCTACCAGTAAAAGTAGTGGTATAAAAAATAACATTTCACATTCATAAAGAGCACTGCCTTCAAAAGGAAAATATATAAGACGTTTATGGGCAATGCGCGATGAAGTGCCGAGTTCTCATTTGAGACGGCTTGGCTATACAAAACTCTTGAAGGGAGCTTCCAATGAGGGTGCTTTACTTGGATACAATCACTGGACTGCAGCAGTCAATACGATAATATAGATCATTTGATGCGTGCATCTAACTCTGCATAACTTCAACATTTTTATTTTGAAAATACTGAGATTTGTTTTTTAGTTAAAGAGTATCAGTTGTGGTTGGAATGAGTAGCGGTCACAGGGATAAATCTGTAAAATTCCAATTATTCAAAGGCATCTGTGGATGAAGCCACAACAAAGACACATTCCCAACGGGAGGATGCATCTTGTCCATAATTCGGTGAAAAAACACCGCACGGTGCTTCATTTAACTTCTGTAGCTGAAAAATTAAGTTTGGTGGAAACTCATTTTCCCTTGTGCATCAGGAACACTGGAATGGAATTTAACTTTTCCATTGCGGAAAAAAACCCCACGATGAGGCACCTGTCAAGATGCCTAAATGACATTGCAAAATAATGGAGATGAGACAGTGACTAATGTTGACAAACTATGATGGCTGATGATGATAGATGAAGGGTGTAGATTAAGTGATTACCATTGGCAACAACAATAACTGGCTGCAGATGAAAACGATCATTTGTCAGTCACCTATAATCACTCTATTATCCTGTATTCGAGCCATGAATGTTTTATAATTATTGACATACAAAATTACAAGCATAAACAGGACCCCTAAAAGTCAAGCAAACATTTATTAATGAGTGCATCATTACAGCAAACTCAAATGTAATAGAACACGATTCACCACATACTGAATGTACTAAACGAAATGTCAAGCAGTTTAATACATCAGTTTTTACATCTGACGTTTAACAAAATATTCAATGTACCAAAAACAATGAAATTTAAACATTTGTAAATAACTAATGCTTGGTATCAAATATCTGACAACTTCAAATCAACAAGTATGTTTTAACTTTACAGACGGGGAAAAATATTTAAAGTCTATGGCAACTACTTTATATATAATCAAGCAGGCAAGGACCTCACACTATATCAATGGCTGACAAACTCACTAAGGCTATGAGGTACCAGAATATGAAAGGTTATATACATCACCGAATCAAGGTAAGCAACCAACGTGGAACCGTAGAAATCTGGGCTTTAATGGCCTGTGTGTTATAAAGCACCCAGTTTACATTATCTTGAAGGAATTGTGGGTAATGTGTAGACCAAGCTAAAAAATACAACATCCAACCCACAACAGCTATAAGTAGCCAGTAACTCTAGAGGGAGGGGGGAGCTTGTGACGTCACTGCGGTGCTGGTGCCGCTGCAGCAGCTGGTGGAGTAGCCACATCCTCACTTGGAGCTGGATTTCCTTGCTCTACTGAAAACAAAAATAATTACCTGTAATGTCTTCATCATCTTTTGCGCAACACTCCACATGTCACACATCCGTAGACCAACATGACAGACTACAACGCATCAGAACTATAAACTATTATTACAAACATTATGGTATAAATATTTGTATTAAAATAGAGGGATGTATGTGCCATGTGGGGGTGAGGGAAAACTGTTGTGGTTCCACCAATGGTAGCTGGAGTACCAGCAGCTCCTGGCTGACAGGCAAATATTCCACATGGAGCAGTTCAAGTAGGCGGAGATCACCAACATCATGATAAATATCATGATGATAACAATTAGCAACTTCGTGCAGTTATGCATACAAACTAATGAGATAGATCATAATATAAACTGTAACAGTCTATCCCCGGTATAAACCAAAAGATTTCTGCACCAGGGCATTATTGATTGTACCGTTCCAACTAAATATTTGGCCAGCTCATGGCTGGATTAAACTGAACCTAAAATAGATACAAGTAATGTGCAAACATACACATATACACACTCATACACAAAAGGCATATACATCCATATATTCATACGTATCACACATACCCACAAACTCACACAGCAGCACATACGCATGCGCTCAAGAACAAAAAAGATTCACGACCATCACTCTCCGTGGCAAGCCTTGGTACCTGCATTGACGACAAATGACCAATGTAGGCGTGTACCTGGTGCTGGGCTGCTCTCCGTAGGGGTGCCGTCTTGAGCAGAGGGGCCCATGGCTGGATTCTGGCTCCCTGTGGACACAGCTCCATTGGACGGTGATCCTGCACCACTGGAGCTGGCTGCTCCCGCCGATGACTGCTGCTCTACTGCAGCAGCTGTGAATGAAAGTGGCGCGATCCGTTGTCTGCACCAAAGCCTCACAGGGAACCTTTGTTGAAACTTGTTGGTCCAAGAGACTTGCACAATACAGTAACGAACACAATAAAAAAAACTACACTACAACACAATATTTTGAAAGTAATGGCAATACCCGCACTCTACCCAACCCACACGCAATGTGCTCATTGAATGTGTACCCATTAAAAATGCGAGATGGACAAGGTGGGGCACGATTTAGGAAACTTGCCCACTGTTTCAACCGTCGTGCCGGGAGGTTGAATCAATGACCACTGGATTGTCAGTCCAGTGCGATAACCATTACAAGATGGGCAGCTTTCGCATGGACGTTTGGCAACTCAATGCCCGCAAGTAGAACAACACAGCCCATAAATATTTACCTTGTGCAGGTGTTGACGATTGGGCTATTGCAGACTGTGGCAGATTTTGCTGCTGAGCTCCTGAAGGCTGCGGCTGGGCATCAAGGACCCCAGTCCCACTCGGTGCCGCTGGCACGATTCCGGCAGCGTTGGCGTTGGCAGGCTGCACGGTCGGGCTAGGCTGTGCACTGGACGTGCTGGGAGGGTTGCTCAGCGAAGGCTGCTGCACGTGGGGCGGGTGGATGGGTTGCGGTGGGGCGGCGGCTACAGGGCCTGGCGGAGGGAGGTGGTGCTGATGCTGCATCTGCTGGAAGTGATGCTGCCGGGCCCTCATCTCCGCATACTTGAGCTGCTCCATGTGGAAGGCCTGCCTGTCGGCCAGGAGCTGCTGCCGCTGGTACTCCAGCTGCCATCAGTGAAATAAAGTGTTTTTAGCAGATGCTCGTCAACAGCGGTGTTACGGGCACTCGTGCGAATCGCGTCGACTCGAACACCTTTTGTTCAAATTTGTCAATCAAGAGGCTTACAATGTGTGTAGCCATACACTCTAATTACTAGGTGAACTTCTGTCAACTGCGGACAACTATCCTAATATCCCAGTTGACTTAAAATGCTTTTCAAGTTAAGTTTATTTTGTTTAACCAGCTGAGAACTAACGAGTGATCTGGCTCACCAAAAGGATAAAGACAAAGTACAACAAAGAAGCAAACAAAACAGAGCAAAAATAACCAAATAGAAATGAAGCGCAAAAACTGTTAAAGACTAATCTAAATCCGCACACAAATGTATATCAAAATGTAGTCAAATAAATACCCAGTAACGAACACAACAAATTCTAGAATAAAATGGAATTAGGGTGATTCTTGCACAAGTATGTAAACAGACAAAGATGTTTGTCAAATACATTTGCAAGTAAAGTTATACAGATTTGACAGCATGGGTATCAAATAATGATTTAGATACTAGAGTTAACCAAGGGCATTTTTGAGGTAATGGGATTCCAGGTGCATGAGGCATTAACAGATAATTCATAATAACCATGTGATTTCTTTGTTCTAGGTACAATGCAATATAGATTGAGGGTTTCGTTCTTGTATAAACATACTTTAAAGAGACCAAGTTATGTGTATGCATTAAAGCTGCACTTGGCCCAATGCGTCTCCCTCCCGAGTTGAAAGTGGGTGATAACCGGTCATCAAGTACAGATAACAGTGATGAGTGAAATAGTTTGTAAGAAAGTGCAAGATGGATTGAAAGATAGGATTTTGCACATCTAAAGCAGATTTAGAAGGTTGATTTGTATATGATGTCAGCAGTCTAGGAGAGGCATAAGGGTAGCAGATAAAATACTTCTGTGTAGATCAGAAACATAACAAAAAAAGTACTATTGAACTGCTTTTTATGTATTTTATAGACTAGAGATTCCTCCTACAAAATTTACAGGGCAATTCGAAATCAATAATGTGCTTAAAATGTTAATATTGTAGTAAGGGAGTTACCACGGTGTTTCAAGCAGACTACAAAAAGATGGCTTTGTGTGTTTTGCTCACCGCTTCTCTCTCGCGATCCATAATGCTTTCAAGCTCTTCAAAGTGCCTCAACTTGATTTCAAGTTTCTTCATTTGCGTCTCCACCAGCAGAGCCACCAGTGACTTTATCTTCCGCTCTTCCACAGCTGCTAGATGCTGCAAATGAACAAGCATGCATGAGCACCGAGCTGAGAGGCGCGCACAGCATGTAGGTATGTGTTTATGCCAATAGAATCACGGGAGAAGTGTAAACAATTAAACCGTGCCTTGGCTTTAACAGCAGCCGATGCGAGTGCAGAAGCAGCAGCAGTGGCAAGGTTTCCTTCTCCGATATCGCGCTCCATTTTCTTCTTTTCTCCATTCTCAGCCTTCTCCTTCTCAATGGCAGTCTCATTCTCTTTCTCTTCTGCATCCTTTTCACTTTCTGTGGAGCAATTGCATGAGTTAGTTATGACACTTGTCCCGCGACAAGTATAGGGACAAAACTGGGCAACCTGAAAAAACCCCAGAACTACCGCGCTCTCTCGCCCACCTTTGCTCTTGTCCTCCTTGTTCTGGTTTTCCCACTCCATGACACCATCCTCCGCTTTCTTCTCCCCCTCCGCTGCCTTTTCCTTAGGACCTTCCTCAGCACCCTCTGCTGCCTTTTCCTCCTGTACAGGAGATTGACATTAAAAAATTAACCCGTAAAAACAAAGTTTTTCACTATAAATCCTTTATATGCGTGGCGGCTAGAGTCCTCTCGTCCTCTGGCTTGAGATGGATGCAACCTATGGGTCAGATGATTGCCTGCCACCATTAAGCAATTGGTAATTAAATATAAATTTTTGTCCTAAAAAGTGTAAAATTTTGGAAAAAAAATTTTCACGAAAATAAATTGTCACGCACAACGAGTCTGTGTGCAAAATGTCAGCTCGATTGGATCACGGGAAGTGGGTTAAAAAACGACCAAAAGATTTGCACGGTCGTAAGCAAGCAAGCAAGTGAACTTAATATAAAGGATTCAAAAATGGTAACATTTATCCAGCATTTTAAACGCTTAAATATTTGTCAGTGGGTATAATGATGATAAAGTAATTTGGTGCGCTCCCAGCCCGCTTAAACCCAACGGGATGTGGTAATACGGATTATTTTACAATTTTAAATTAACCTTACATATACTCCGCTTTTGACAATTTGCAATATTAACTAAAAATATGGAAAGTTCGGAAGCAAAAAATCATTAAATATGCAAGCTGCTCAAGTAAACCATAAACTTCTCGAGACCAGTTTACTTTCTTTTTAACTTAAAACTTTCGTGACTGCAGGAATTCATATTCTTTGGTTGTTTAAGGCAAAGTCACATAGATACAAAATAAAAATCCAAAATAAATACAAAAAACCCACGACTATCTTCGTGACTTTACTGAAAGAACCAAAGATTACAGTTCACTTTCTGCTTAAGGTTACAATACATTTAAACCTAGAAAGTGCTGTAATTATAACATTTAGCTTTAACACTCTAATATGAACCGAAAGGCCAATTCTATAGCTATCAAAACGAAATAAGGTCAATAATAAAATGATGTATTTTGTCACTTTAACTTGGTGTTAAACATCCGACACCTTGTCTCACATTACAAAGCTGGATTGCACCACCAACCAGCATGATTAACAGATGCATTTAATCGACATCCCAATCTCACCTTATCATCTTTCTTTTCATCACTTATCTGGCTGTCAGCTTTAGGCTCCTCGGTGGGCTCCTCTGCACGCACACAACGGGGAATAATAAGTCTCTAACCTTCGCACACGACAACCAAATGTCTATCTCATAATCATGAAGATTACAAAACAGGGAGGTAAACAAAACAAAGACATCCTTTACAAATGCCATACTATCAATCGTGTGAAATGCGTAAGTTAAAGTTAAAAACCCCGTTTGGCTTCCTCCAGCACGCACGCAGTAACACGCGTACCAATCTTCTCCTGCTGCTCGGGTGCCGTGCCCGCTATGCCACTGCTCTCCAACCCGAACGAGGGGTCGGCCTTGCCGGACGACTTTGCTGCCTCCTCCACTTTCTTCACGTGCGTCTCCACCAGGGCCGAGGGCACCTCCTCCTTCATCTTCTGGAACTCATCTGCAAAGCACCCAATCAAGTGCACCAGGTAAGCCAAACGTTCCCCTTTATGCACACTTGCCATGACGCTCATGCTGGGCAATCAATTGACATAAGCGCCACAGTAAGTACATTTATAAACGCGCAACTCTTATAAACCTAGGTGATCACGAGTGCGCAATATTCATATTGAAAGCTCTATTAAACACTTCTCTCTTGTACTTTCTACTGAACTCATTAGATGTCTGGAAAGAGTGTCGAACATGTAGCGACAGTCAGTTCCAGGCCATTTGACCGCTGACCGCAAAGCTGCGTGGTCCATATCTCAATTCCTCCAGCATATCAGCAGCACAATAAGTGTTTTCCCAGGAATTATCCCATGGGGAGGGGCAAAAAATACTTAAAAGGAGATGGCATTTCCATGGCATAAATGTAATTATCATCTGTTTTGGCTAGTGATATAACAAAATGTAAAAAATAGACATATCTAAACATTTAACACAATAGTTTATTTTAAAGTCTTTTTAATCAACGTTTTTGCACAAACTTAACTGTGTCGCACACTCCGCTAGACTATAAAAAATGTGCCTGTTGACTTGATCTTCCACAACACTTCTCACCATAGTGGTTCTAGCTTTCCATATACAACGGCCTTCTACACTGCGTCATGGACAAAACCTGTACAGAAATACCTCTAATATCAACAACAAAAAAACTTCATTTATATTTTCCAAGTTTCTGTCCAACTGCCAAACATTTAAGCCCCCCCCTCTGTGACCCAGCCTTCCCAGCGGACCCAACTTACCCAGGGCGGCCTTCGCTGCGGCGGTGGCGACGCGTGGGTCCACGACGGACGCGAGGAATGCCACAGTGCTCATGACGGGGTTGCCAACCTGGCTGAACGGAACGGGCTGGTAAGCGAGTGGTCCTAACGAGCTCAGAGAGCCCACACCCTCCTCCAGGTAAGGGTCCTCGATGGGCAGCCGCAGGAAGTGCAGAATGCACTCGTCCTGCGTGCGGCTGCCCACGTGCTCCGACACTTTGTTCCAGTCATCCTTGAACATCTCCAGGCCCTGCCGCAGAAACACGCCGAAAAACGCCGATGATGAAAGGCCCCAAAGCAGATGCAGCTCCAATATGGCGTCATGTTATTGTGAAAAGGACGAGCAAATGAGGCATTATTTATGAAGCTATACATTTTAAGTACAATACAACTTTTGGACACATTTTACTCACTTCAAGTAACAATAGAGTTTCCTGGTCAGTCCAGTCTCTGGCACCAGAACCAGCTATCTTTGACTGCCAAAAATGTAAACACAAAACACAACAGTTAGAAACAATTGAAACTGTTCAAATTCACTGTACCTTACAAGCGTACAAGTATTTGTTTTAGGCAAAGTTAGCAGTCGTACATTCACAACATTTTCTTATTATCCAATATTGTAGCAACATCTCATAGTTCCCTGGTTAAATAGGTAGCCCAGAATCAGTTTCACATTACCCTGGTGGCAGCTGTAACACAGCCAACCCTTGTGCTTGTTACCTTAGCAGATGTGCCATCCTTTTTGGCATACATGTCTGACCGCAGTCCAAAGTTTTGTAGTTCTCCCGTCTTCTCCTTCGCTTTGTCCGAGTTGTTTGGGGTGGGTTGCACGGACGCCACCTAACAACCCACCAGACACCGATACAAGTGAGTACAGTACCATCTGAAGTATTCAAGTAGACTAAGTTAAGAAATGCTACCCTCGAGACAGACAGGTGAGCAGATGTTTTAAGTGAACTTTGTTCCAATCCCAATAGATATTATTACAAAATTCAGACATTAAGATTTCAAATAATGCATTCCAATGATGGATTTACTATAAAGCTTAGTATCATTATGACAAAAAAACTGTAAAAATGAAAAGCAATGCTTCATGTGAAACCAAAGCAGTCATTACATCCACTGCCTTTGCAAAAAAAGTATAACAGAATGAACATTTGTAATTAGAAGCATGTTGTTTCACCATTTTGGAGCTGAAAAATGGGGGCAACATTAATTTATGAATCCACTACTGGATGAAGGCCACCCACCACCATGTCGGTCATGGAGGCTGTTTGAAAATACTTCACCACGCTGGTCAGTGAGGTGGGGGGAGGGGACAGGACCGGTTCAGATAACACTCGCCACTGATATACTGGCTGTGGCTGGGAATCGAACTCAGGTCGCGGTGTTTGTGGTGTTTCGCTCTACTCCCTACACAGTGCGTACCGGAGTGGTTTTTGGTTGGAGGGGCACCAGGCCGGAGGGGGTGTCCACCAGCACGTGGAAGTGAGAAGTCGGTGGTGGTCCCATGGCTGCTGGTCGGCTATCAGTGTCCACCTGGTAGTTTATGAGGCCCCATTGCTCGAGGAATGCATGGGCTCTGCAATTTAAAACCCACAAAATAAAGAATAGACATTCAAGATTAAACCATACGGGAAATTTTACATGATTCTACAAAGGTTATTTAAATTTCTAACTAATGAGCATAATTTAGGTTTATATAGATGTGTGCTCACTTGTGATACTCACCTCATGATAGCACAGACGTCCCCAGCAAGGTTGCGACGGCAGGCGGTGCTGGTCAAGTACTCTTGGGGATTCAGCCGATACGTGTCGATCATGAAGTTACGGTATGCCAGGTACCTGTCCACACACCACAAGTAAAGTCATTCAATAAGGGACCTCCGCTTGACTCGCTCGTACATATTACTCATTAAAGTTTCATCCAATGAATGTAAAAAATAAGCACATTTACATCACGCGTAAAACAATTTGTGAATTGCCGCTTACACTTCTGGAGTTTTGGACTTGTTTTTCCCATTGAAGAACTCGGGTAGGGCACGTCGTTCGATAGCATGAATGCTGAAGGAACGTGAAAAACAGAGCCATGTAATGAGATACATTTGCAATCAACATCTGTACTAGAGGGCATATAAATGGCACGTAATGGGCAAGCTACATTTGTGTAACTGCGTTTCATGCCCCACATTATAAGGTTTGTGTCCGCAGTTTCGCTGGATCACCTGTTGTAGTCGAACCAGGCAGCGTAGCTGGGCACAACAATGTGGTGCATCTGGTCAGTTACGTTGTCCTCCAACTGGTCGGGGTTCTTTGCCTGATCAGGCTTGGGTCCCACAACAGTCTCGCCCTCCTTCACACAACCATTACAGCCACAACATCAGAAATTGTTTGTATCAACAGTCTAAAAAATTACAGAGATTAGACAAATATTACATATTGTAATGAAAATGGCCATGGCTATTTACAAATGAACCATTGCGAAAGTATAGTTCAATTAAAGTGTACACCTTACCTTGGTTATAGACTCCACTGTTTTATCAGTCTGTTCTTCTGCAAACGAAAACAAGCAATACATGTAGCCAATTATGGTTAGCAGCAGGGAAATTAATGCTATTTGTGCACGTAATAAATACCAGAAAGCCAGGATATGTTGCTCTCTAAACATGCTCTTCAGAGTGATCTCTCACCAGTCTTGGGAGGCTTGTTCTCTTCCACACTTGCTGCCTGCGACGAGTTGTCCCCATCACGACTCGAGTCCTCTTGGTCTTCCTCCCGCTGACCCCTCTTCTTACCTGATGGAGTAGCCGGCCTATACGGCAGGGAAAAAACGCAAAACAAGCAAAGCAACATCAAACAAGAAAAATCATGCATTGCATAGATTCTTTAATGCTCTGAAACATGCATTTATCCTCAGAATCCTTTAACGAGCAATAAGAATATTATCTTCCACGCTGCACAAGATGCCGTCACATGTAATGACATGAACTGGAAGGGAGGCGTGGCCAGTGGCGTGTGATGTCATTGCCTTGGCTGGAAAGGAATAACCATTTTTCACTGCTCTTTAATTGCAAAGTTTTGGGCAACCCTGTGATCTATTGGCCTTTTTCTAAAGGCTAAGTCCTTAGCAGCAATACAACTTTATTATATTTACATCAGATCTTTACAAGATTGTTGTGAGCATGTTATGGGATAGATAGATACAGCTGATACTTCAGAGCTTTCAATCCATATTGGAAAGCGTTAATAATGCCGATTTTATCAGCAGAAATGTATGCAACTTTAAAATATTGCACAGCACCAGGAAAATGAAAGATGAAAAGCATGCTGGGTAGACAAACCCTTTCTTGATGTTCTTTTTCTTGGTGTCTACAGGTGGTGGAGATGGCGAGCGTTTGCGCTTTTTCATGCTGCTGCCTCTTCTCTCCCTCCGGTCCGACTCAGGGCTGTTGGCCTGAGAGACAAACAAAATACAACCGTTATTCTCTATTGAATTAATCCAAAGGGCAAAACTAGTCTTCAAATAGAATTAAATATTATGCACGTTTTAACAATGTCACCATAAAAGATACACAATTTTATATTTATTGGTAGGTTTCTTCTTATAATACTATGAAGCATGTTAATTATCATCTAGACCTCACCTCATCACCAAGAGTCTTGGCAGAAATTTTTTTCCTGGTACTGACAGTATTCCTAGAGTCATCCACTTCGTAATCCTCCTCATTCATCCACTCATTAAACGTGTCTGTGTCCAAGATCCATTTGACAGTGCACCTGGAAGTTAGCAACACAAAACAGCGTTAATAACCATCTCAAATATTTTTTTTTACGTATTTAGGAACCATTGCCCCTAACAGAGAACATTTTCCCACCTTCCAGGGTCCATTCCGTGGGGGCATGTCCTCTACTTCAGCGTCAACCTCATTAGCCATCAGCCATGTGTCATAGCTGTGAAAAAAAATACATGTGCAAGTTAACTCTCGATTTACGAACGTTTAGTTTACAAAATTTCACGTGAACAAAATTGACAAATGATGGACACGTTTCGATTAACGAAATCGAATTTCTGCGTTCACGAAATTTCACATGGAAATGCACCATGACATCAAACAAGAACCACCTAGGAGGCTACATCATCTATCCGCAACAGTGTCACGGTATCCCGACATGCAGATCTTTTTTTGTGAGTTCCCTGAAAAGGTTATTTTTGTTTTAACTAATTATTATTCAATAGTTTTTATATTTGTTCTTTATTATTTTGTATTGTGAAAAGTGATACATGTATATTTTTAGGTTAGGAGGTCGAATGACTGTCCGAAACACTTCCATAATTTTTTACTCTTCAATGAATGGGAAAAGCCATTCCGATTTACAAAATATCTGTACTGAAAGTGCAGAGATATTATTCATCAACTTCTTGATACATTTCTGCTTCCATTTTAAGGAATATTTAGTGTTTGGGAGGAAACCAATGCAGATGGATTCAAAAATCCGCATACTGTACTGCCATCCTGTGGCCTGATATTCCCGCAGGTTTGAAAGTTTCACAAATCAATATGATCTACCCTGCACTTCATCCAGAACAATGGTAGGTGGATGATACGCATGCATTACCATGCTTTATGTTTCAGCATTTCAGCAAAGTCATGCACTCTTAACATTTTAATGAATGGGTATGAAACTGCAAGCACCTGTTTACAAATGTAAAAACAGTCTGAATTACCTGTCAGGATAGAAGCCCCAGTGCAGGAGCATTTGGCGATCCTTTTTCATTACAGGTCGCACCCACTCGTCTGCAAGATAAAGGCATTCAAGTGATCATAATGCTTTTGATAAGATGTACCAGATAAATTTCGATTTAAAGCTTTCGTGACTGCAGGGATTCATCTTCTTGGTTATTTCGGTAAAGTCACGTAGAATGGAAATAATAAAATAATAAAAATAAAACATTATAAAATAATTCTCACGACGTTTCGGCCACAACGCAAGCAGCCGTCTGTCTTTCTGACAGACCTGGTCTTCACCTGAGGACGGCTGCTTGCGTTGTGGCCAAAACGTCGTGAGAATTATTTTATGTTTCATTTTAATTATTTTATTATTTCCATTCTACGTGACTTTACCGAAAGAACCAAGAAGATGTACCAGATATTTCCCACCATGAAGGGAATAGCATGCACAAGTAAAACTATGAAAATAAACATGCTTTTGCAAATTTCATAATTGTATACCTTCATCGTGGTTGGCTGGAAGAGGAAAGACCACGTGGGAAGCATTTGATTTGTCATCCGTTAGCGATCCCTGTGGCAAGGTACACATCGACACCCGACTTCAGCAACTTACTCAAACAAAAGTTGTGCATCATCTATCATCTACAAAAAAACTACAATTTACTTGGTAAATATTTCGACAATAAAAAGTCAACATCTGAATGAATGTTAAGGATGATGTATACATGAAACATACCTGGTGTCGTTTCACTATATCCTTCAGTTTGCTAGCCAGCTTGTGATCAATATCAGGATGGAGGTAGATATTTGGCCTAGACAAGCAATTATTCTGTAAGGTAAGAGATGAAAAAAAGTTATCAACCACAAATCAGAAACAGATATTATAGTGTTCAAACTGTGTTGTGAAAACAGTTGGGTAAAAAACACAAACCTGTACAAGCAGTTTTTCGATGGTCATGAACATCTCTACATTGCGGTCCATGCGAGATGGATTTTGAAAATCAAACCGCCTCCTGCACAAAAACGTAAACAAATTTGCAAATTAATTTACCACAAGACCAAACTTTCATAACATAAGCAATTCCTTATAAAATGTATCCAAACCAACCCAACCATGAGGTCCCTTACTGTAATTTGTAAATATATCAATTGTACTTACCATCCCTGGTCACTTTTAAATTTGTACACAGCGGCCAAGATTTGACACAGAGACCCTCCAGCTTTGAAATCCATGAAACACTTCATCTGCAAGAAAAAGCACAAACCAATATCCTCAAAACTACTTAAAATGTAAAGTTTGTAAATAGCGGTGGTGTTAGTCAGCATACTACAGTGACCGAAGATTGATCCTAGCCGAGCTAACATCATTGGCAATTGATATCTAAATTAGTCTTGGGCTCCCTTTTTATCAACCTACACTGACCAACATGGTGAACTATGGTCAGTAGCCCCCATGACCACCATGGCATGGGAAGGCCATCATCTATCTATTGCAGTAAGATAATGTAATAGGTATCTAATTCATACTACTGTACATTAAACTGCACATTTCACTTGTGAGATAGTAATAGATGTGTTTGATGGAGTTCATGCATGAACATTGTAATGTCTATGCTTAATTTATATTTGCTTGTGACTCTGCTAACAATTCTGGTCAGACTACTTGTAAGTGGCATCCTTGTATCTTGATAAGTATTAAAGGGCACGGTAGATGCAACACTCACCGGAATCCGAGTGAGAGGGGGATTGCTGACATGCTTTCCCATAACTTCCTCTTGGAACTGCAGCAGCTGAATCACCAGGCCAGCGAGGGATTTGTTGGTGGGAGGCTCTGCCTGGATGTACTGCACACAGAACCACACACCACCAATCCAGTACAATGTTGTCCCAAAAGTGACTGTACAATACCAATCCCAGAAATCATACAAGTAAAAGTAAGTTTTTTGTGCGTAAACGGACAGTGAAAATCTTTCAATAATTTAGTGATCGCATTTAATGGATGAGCTTAACCAGCCTTTCCCATAGTGTCCTTTCCCTGAACCTGTTTTTGGATATATACATTTTTCACTTTAGAACCTAATTAGATAGAAATAAGAGTTCCAATATTAATCTATAAAGCATCTGTATGAAGGTGGTCTCAAGAAGCTCAAACAATATTGGGGAAAATTGATGAGAAGATATCGGAAGACACTTACCGAGCTTGAACTCAAACATGTAACTCCAAACCGTTATGTACAAGGCAAATTAGATAAACAATTTAATGTCACAGTAAAAAAAGGTTAAAATTAAGCGGCCTGTCATGTGTTTACAGATATATCACTGCCCTGTATTATATCTATTACCGCCCTGCGCAATATATACAGTACATGATAAACAGTTTTAAACAGGAATTAAAACACTGGAATATACAACATTGTTAATACTGCAAATACAGTGTAGTGTGTTTGCCAGTGAAAGTGTCCACATACTAACAACAGACGTGGGGACCTTTTCAGTTCCTATGAATGCCTCTCCATAGCACAGCCGATATTGACATTATCTTTACCAACTGGTGATTATATTGTACTCAACCCAGAGATGATTAAAGGGCCAGTGTCGACCTCGACTTAGATTTATATAATATCCAACAGCAGAAAAGACTGTTCCCGTCGCTTAACTTCCACACACATTCGCTTGTTATATTGCAGCCACAAGGCATAAACACCACTACTGCACAATGAAAAGATACTGCATATTTACATAGAAAAATTATTGATAATAATAAAAACACAACGAAATGAAAACAATACATCGGATAAAGAGCGAGCATCCACCGCCGCTTTTGTTCCTGACGGACATAACTTGAACACAACAAAGCCAATAATAACACGAGCAGAACGTCACAAAAAAAGTTGACCGAACAATACAATTAACCAAAGCAAATCCTAAAAACACAGCCACAAACGATGGGGGGGGGGGGAGACAGGCGAAACGCGTAACAACCCGACCCAGACAGACCACATCCACTCGATCCCGCGCGTTTATCCCCACAACCACCCAGAGCTCACAAAGCTGCACCAACGCATCCCCCGCCGTCATCGAACCTCTCGCCGCTCGCCTCAAACTCCCCGCCGCCCCACTTAAACGCAACACCGGAGCACATCAACAACAACCAGTCGAACCAAATGAACGCGACCGTCTCGATAGAGAACAATGGGCGGCCTTGCGCAGGCTTCGCTCAGCACCACAGCGGCTTGTGTGGGATGGTGGTGGGGGGTGGTGGGGGGTGGGTGTTCACCTCGTCCCGTAGCCATGTCTCGGTCCCACACCGCCGCCTCCTCTCTAGCCCTCCCAGCGTCTCACCTTCTTGTAGTGCTTGCCCAGCCACTGGCGCACGTTGTCGAACTGCGCCACGGTGTCCGTCGACTCGAGGAACTTCACGTTGGGACCGCCGTCCTTCTTGCGCGCCGCCATGTTGTCCGCGCGTCTCGCCGCGCCGAGGACCCTCATAGCTGCCCGCGGCGCTGCCCGCGTAGGTGCCCGCCGCGCCGCCTGCTGCCTGTTGCCCCTAATTATTATTATTATTACCACCACCACAACTATAACACGAACACCAGGTTTTTTTTAACACAATGTTGTGGCTTCAACACACCGGTGGGCTAAAGCAGTGAACTATTTGTCTATGTCAACGTGACACATTTTTACTGATTGGCCGTGTCTGGTGGTGGAGGGTTACGACACATTTATAAATAACGCGATCTAAACCCAAAAACGTTGATTATGAATACCAGGTTTTTTTTTATGTCGCGATTTAATATTTATGGCGCGATTTAATTCGTGGTGTTTGTAGTAGTTGTAGTAATAATAATGATGATGATGATCCTGTGGGGAGGGAGCGGGGGGGGTAATATAAATATGACTCATGGATAGCTGTGGGGAGGGGAAGATCTTTAAAGCTCATCGGATTTGCATGCCTGTTAAACCCCTTGTTCAGTGCCCGGACTGATTCCAGACCAATTCGGACCTCATTGGTCAGCCTGTAGCCCTTATACATCTCAACATTCATCCCACAAAGTCCCATCACAAGGCCGAAAGACAAACAAATAGACACTCTCCACTAGTACACTCACCACTAAATACCTACTCTTAGTTTTTTTTTCGGTAAAGTCACGTAGGTAAAAATAAAAATTTTAATAATAAAAAATATTAGAAATAATAATAGAAATAAAATAATAAATCACGACGTACAGTTATTTTGCTGTGCCTTTTTACACCTGATGAAGGAAGCTTGTGTTGCCTCCGAAACGTCGTGATTTATTATTTTATTTCTATTATTATTTCTAATATGTTTATTATTTATTTATATTTTTATCTACGTGACTTTACCGAAAAAACCTAAGAGTATGAATCGTTGCAGTCACGAAAGCTTCAAAGCTAGAATCACTACATACCTGTCAACCCCTTGATCAGTGGCCTGAATTATTACAGACCAATGCAGACCTTATTGGTCACCCGTACCCCTTATACATCTCAACATTCATCCCACAAAGTCCCATCACAAGGGAGTAACAAACAAATAGACAATCATCACTACTACACTCACCACTGCATACTTGTCAAACCCCCTTGATCAGTGGCTTGACTTATTACAGACCATTTCAGACCTTATTGGTCACCCCGTATCCCTTATACATCTCAACGTGCATCCCACAAAGTCCCATCACAAAGGAGAAACAAAGAAATAGACAATCACCACTAGTACACTCACCACTACATACCTGTCAAACCCCTTGATCAGTGGCCTGACTTTATACAGACCAATGCAGACCTTATTGGTCACCCTGTGCCCCTTATACATCTCAACGTTCGTCTCACAAAGTCCCATCACAAGGCAGAAACACAAACAAATAGACAAATACATTTTGTTTATTCGTATTGAAACGGATGTTGACCGTATGGACCTGAAAATTTCCCTGTACAAGAATGCCGGTAAACCGTATGGGTTGACACGGTATGGTATTCCTCCAGTATAAATCAATATTCTGATATACTGACCCTGATCCTAATTACGTTGTTTCTCTGTTGCAACGTCGCCAACAAATAATGCAAAGGAATACGATTTTTATTCACTCCAACGTCATTTCGAAACGTTGGGTGATTTACCGGATACAATTTACCCGTTTCAGTTTAGTTTCAGTTTATTTATTAGGTATAGCCCTGTGAGCCATGCGGCTCTTGAATCGGGTGCAACCGCAACAAACAAAACACATGAACAAGAAAACATCTTAAAGTTACTACGCACAACATAAAAATCCAGGAAAAAACAGAAGAACGTGAGTGAAAAGACGACGAGCAAAGTGACGATATGTGTTGTGTGTTGCCTCTCCATTGAAGGAGGTTAGGGGAAACAACCACCCCCAGCCTCTCATTAATTTAGAGGCGATAACGGATGTGTTCACGCGGTTTGATGCGGGAAAACGCGCCCTGGATACCGGCTATGCACTTGGCTTAGCTGCTGCGAATGTGAGAACAATGCGTGTGCTGAGGCTCGTACAATAGGAGGAGGTGCCCGAAGTGTGACCCCGTTGAGTGCTGCTAGAATATGACGAGAGGCAGCAGACGAGGTGATGGACAATATGGAGAGTTTGTTCAGCGTCCAGATCGTGCGTTTGGTGGCGATACAAGAAAACGCCAAATTGATATTTCAGGACTTAAAGAGTATGGTGAGGGTTCAACTATCTCAGCTTTTTCAGCAAGCCGTGGTTTGTTTGAACGGTTTAAGCGTCGTTCCAACCTGCATGACCTAAAACATGACTGGCGAGGCTGCCAATTGCTGACTTTGGAGGCGACAGAGCAATACAGTGCCCGCCACAATTTAAATCTATCATGGCACAAGGTGGGCTACTCTCCCCAGCAAGTGTTCAATATTGACGAAACCGTACTCTTTGGTTCTTTCGGTAAAGTCACGTAGGTATAAAATAAAATAAATTAAATCACGACGTTTCGGGCGCAACACAAGCGTCCGTCATCAGGTGGGACAACCACAGCAACAAACAATTGCTGAAGTGGGCTATTGTTTTTTTGTCCCACCTGATGACGGACGCTTCTGTTGCGCCCGAAACGTCGTGATTTAATTCATTTTATTTTATACCTACGTGACTTTACCGAAAGAAACAAAGAGTATGGATCCCTGCAGTCACGAAAAACTTCACATCCAGATTGACGAAACCGGTTTACATCTGCAAAGAATAAAATACAGATTTCGATTTAAAGCTTTCGTGACTGCAGGGATTCATCTTCTTGTTTTTTTCGATAAAGTCTACGTTTCATGGTTCAAAGCTGCTTAATGATCGGCTGACTGTTCTGCTTGGTGGCAACGCCGAGGGGTAGATGCCTACCATGCAGAGAATCCCCAGGGCCCTTTCCGAGTGGCTATTGCAAGAATAATCTCACTGCCATTTGGCGAGCAAATAAAACAGCTCGTGTGACGATGGCTCTGTTCCAGGATCGGTTCGCATCGTAGTTTTGCCCTTTTTGTGAAGGATTACCTAACTGTGCCAGAAACAACCTAAACCACAAAGCACTGCTAATCCGAGCTAATGCACCTAGACATCATGTGAACCTAGACGATGTGGCTGAAATGTACGTGTTGGTGGCTTTTTTTGCCATGAATCACGACGTCGTTATTGCATCCAAAGATGAACCGATGTGTAATTGCCACGACCAAGGGCCAGCTGATTACTAAAACGGTGAAAATAAGCCAACAATCAGGGAGTTTTGGTGTGACTACAATATCAGGAAGTTCTATCGTTCTATCGAGAATTTAGGGTGTCGTGGCAACATACCACTCGGTAAACATGAGTGGTGTGTGAAAGTAAATCTGGCCTGAGTGTGTCAACGAGTTGGAGTGGTGGGGGAGGTTTGTAAAGACAGTGCCATAAATTCCACGTGAATTTGTTGGGCTGGCCAAACAAATTGGTTTTGACGAAGTTGCTCGAGTACCATGGCGAAGACTTATCTAACTAACAATGACTCGGTTCAACAAAGAGCAGTGGAAGAAACGGATTGTGTTGAAATCCAGCAACACCCCTTAAACAATGAAAAGTGAAAGGCGTTCAAATGTTTAAGTATTTATGGAAATCTCGATGGAGGATAACCCCAACATTAAACGAAGCTCTACATTTAAACGGGCTTTTGAAAGTCGAATTCACTGCTACAAGGAGAAGGGGATGTCCAAAGCGACAGACAAGCTAGATAAGGCCCAGTGGGTGGATAAAGGCATGTAGAGAAATGCACACTATGATTACTCCTCCTACTACATACATTATGATACATATGCTGTACATGACCATGTGCCTTTCTATATGCGTTATATGTGGGGAAGTATGGCCACACTACAACAGCCATGTCCCAGAAAGTGTGGGTGCAGTCTTGTCCAACAGTGTACGGATCAAGCCATGTAAAGGACCACGTATTACATACATGATGCATATGCTCGACATGACGACATACACACGTGTATGTATATATACATCACGTGGTGAAGTATGGTCGAACGACGTGGGTTGGGGGGGGGAAGCAACTTTCAACTAGCAGTGGATTATTAAAAGGAATGTATATACCAGGTGAACCACTAAAATACTGTAATAGAGCTTACAGAGAAATCAACATTTTAATCAAGCCCCTACATGTCTCTCTCCAAATCCCAAAACACGTATTAAGTATTTTAGCATTCACCTCCCGCACTCTAACAATACAGACGGTATATAGTTTGTTTAAAACCTTCAACGAAGGAAGATGATTATTATAAATCTGTGGGGTATCGAAAACGGATAAACCTATACTTTTATTTCCAAGCCGTATTAAACCTTTTAACTCGATAAAGATATAAAGTCATCGCTTACACAAGATTCAATCACCTGTTGAGACCAATGCCATTCGAAATCAGTGGCATATCTATAAATTGTATATGTATGATGCATATATGCAAAGACATTTGCACACTGTGTGCATATTCATAGAGATACACTGACAGTGCATACAAGATGTACGTGTTAATATTCCAACTTTATTAAACTGTCAACTTTGTCGCCAGTTATTAAAGTCGCTGTCCCGGTCTCCATCGACTACAAAAGGAAAACGACAGGAATGGGAATGTAAACTGACGGTAAATGTTACCACTGAGTACAGATTTCATGCCCACAGTTCAGGATAAATTACAAATTGCTTGATGTAGATCACAGACGACTAGGTGGTTTGTATAGCAGCAGTCGAGGGATTGTGCAGCAGCAGATTGCACAGCGGCAGCAAGCGGCAATGTTTGATAACATTTACAATCTTGTTACATTCCTATTCCACAAATTCGTTCTATGCCTTTGTGGCCTTTCGAGACGGCGTGGGTGGACGTCGGCCAACGTAAGCAACAACTGGTGACAAAGTCACACACACACAGTGATACTTGAAGTAAGTTGGAATTGTAATCAAGGCTGTAGAAAACCTAAAATCTAAATTGTGTTTGCACATACGTGTTGTTTACATACCCCGACCTAGGCATATAAATATAAACGGACACATATATGTGCACATATCCATTGACGGATGACATACAAATAATCCCACGCATACACACATCGGCAGGTAGACAAAGACAGCAAAGATGAATAAACTCAGTCAGCGTACACATTCACAGACAGCCAAATATATCCATCCAAACGAGATCCGGTCAGATCTCAGTTGAAAAAGAGGCACCCAGCAGTCATCAACTATCACTTACCTGGTTGTAAAGATTACTCACTGTATGCACGACATAAAGCCAGTCACTAAGCCATGGGAGCCAGCCGTCCAAATCGTCATTCCATCCCCCCATCCATCCAGGCTGCAACTCAGCCGCGCACGCATCAGCCACTCCGACCACCACCACCACCCCCTCCGGCCACTTGGCCAGCCAGCTGGGCAGCCAGCCAGCTGGGCAGCTAGCCACTTACACAACACGCGCCGGACTGTACAAGGCACCAGCAGCACAAATGGAAATTGGCACCAACAATAATAATAGCGAGCGTTGGAGAGAGATGCAAGGTGAGATAGATGGAAGGGCAGAGAGAGAGAGAGCGGCTGGCTTTTAGCGTCACTGCGCTCGGTTCACCAGCAAACAACGCTGGCAGCGACAAGCGAGCGAGAGATTAAACACCGGCTTTCTGTATCACATCCCGCTGATGTAAGTGGACACTTCATTTTCAGAAGTAGGCACCACCATCAGCAATAAAACGCAAGCAAAACAAACCGTGGCTTCAGGTCCACTCCTGCATTCCGAACCCACCCCCAGAGAACAATGGCTTAAAATACACACCGTTGCTGGCTGTCTATTAAGGGCAGTTCACCGACCTCAGCAGCAACCCTTCAACCACCTTAGCGCCTTCATTATACTCCTGGCTTCAGCAAGACTCGCTGCGTCAGCAAGAATCGCTGGCCGCAGTAGCAGCACTCGCATCAGCAGCAGCAGCAGCACCGCCAGCAGGGAGGGATAGGGCACGCGCGAGCACTGAAGGCTGATGCAGCAGAATTCACAATACACCAACCAGCAAGCCAGGGTGATATCGAGTGGCGTGAGCAAACGGACGAGCGAAAACACAATCCAGCAACAGCACAAGTGGCACAGAAGCAGCAGCAGTCGATTCTCCCTCAACCCGTGCTCACAGGAATCAGGAGCTTGGACGAATCCCTGGCCCCTGGCCACACTCCGTGCGCGACCAGAAGCAGAAGAGGCAATGGGTCAAGCAGCAGCTCCCTCGTGGTGGTTGGCGATTGGAGTGGGAATGTCCGGTAAGGGGTGGGGGGGGGGGCACACGCCGGGCACGGTGCATATATGCGAAGCTCTCCTTCGGGCGAGGTCAAGCGGGTGCTGGGTTGAACGGGAGAGGAGGGGGGAGGGCAGAGGAGGGGACGGGGACTGGAGGCCGAAGAGGAGGAGGAGGTGGTGGAGGTGGGGAGCTTCGGGTTCCAAGCATTCCAACGGTGGGGAGGGGGGAGGGCTTTGCCCTGCGGGATGCTACACTGGCTGAAACTGAAAAAAAATAATCTCGTGGTTGTACGCACATGCCAGTGGTGGTGGTGGCGGCGAGGACAATTCAGTTCGTACCACGCGCGCAGGTTTCTCATCACGAACAGTGCGCGAAAACGCGTGGCTTGGCCCCTCTCGATTTAGGATTCGTTTGTCATGCGCTCACGCTGTGGTTGTACCGAGATGCTCCGAGCGCCGCTGAATAATTTATAGACTGGATGGGTTTGCGCTCGAAACGCTCAAGGGGCTGCGCACACTGGGGTCTGGTTCGGCAGCTAATCTATAGAGGGCTTTGTTTAAAAAAAAACCTGCTTGCCAGAGCAGCCAAAAGTCAGTCTAGAGGTCAATGTATAGACACATCCATTTGTGTTGTCGATATACAGTACTGGAGCACACAGTGATGTTGTGTTCTTTGGTTAAGTTCGAAGGACGAATTCGGACAAAACAAACCCATTGGAATTTAGTTTTTCAGGAAGGTTGACAACTTATAAAAAAGCTTGTGTTCAAATGTATTGCAAGCAGGATGGCACAAGGTGTTTCACGACTTTAATGTCAGTGGGTGGCGCACTTCTCCTATGGAGAGCTGTCCAATGTGGTAAAGTATGGTCAACGGCGTGATGGCCTTCATCCAAAAGGGGAATGACAAATCGTCTTCAGGTGAGAGACGTTTGCTTGTGTGGCGATCGAAACGTCGTGATCTATTACTTTTTCTACCTACGTGACTTTATCGAAAGAACCAGAGTATGGGTTCCTGCAGTCACGAAAGCTTCAAATCAAGAATGACAAAGATCTAAATATTACTATGACTTCTACGCAGTACGGCTTTACTGGTGTCCTTGAGTATTTCATTTGCGATTTGTCGCAGTTTTAAGCACAAGATTCAACCGTGGCACGAGGTAACACCTTATTTTAGTTTAGCTATTGATGGCCCGATTCTTTTTTAATAAAAGCCATGAATCCGGACAACCCGCAATGACCAACGTAGTGAAGTATGGTCAACCACGTTGAAAAGCACCGCAGTAAAAAAGATAACATTGTCACGTGGTACACGCAAAGATCCACAACGCAGTCTGGCACGAGTACTCAAAAATTAACACTAGGGGGAAGAGCGTGTTAACTGTTCCCATTATCTGAACGGGTTGAGCGTTTTGGTTTGCTCATTGCTGTCTTAGCATTTCAATATTAATCGCATGCAAAGTAAGACGCAACTTAACATTTGACTAAGTACACCTGTGGAAAAGCAAACACAAATCCTCTGCAACTTTTGAATACTTCGCCACAATTGTAATCACAGAATAACCCATGCATCTACATTGGCATGACATTTCAAATGTCTTAACTATATATCTATCAGTTCAACAGCATAGCGAATGCCATGTGAGCTTAATACCAAATCACTCGGAATACGCCCGTTCCCATCAGACCTATAAATCTAAGCAGGCTTGAGCCAAGATTTGATTTAATGGAAAACCGTTATGCACATATTGTAGGCCGTGGGCAATGCAAACACTAAAATCGATTGTTCTATATTCCATCTTCAACCATCAGCACTAACCAAGGTGGTGAAGTATGGTCAAATAACCCGTGGAGAAGCGCTGATCCAGCAATGGATTAACAAACGTGCTTTTACATGTACATCTGCATCGCACGTGTAAGACCAGATGTGACGCTGTACACCACACCACAACAGCGTGAGGTGGAGGAACAGCTTTATTTCAAAACACACAAAGCCACACTAATTAAAACAAGTGCAAATAACTGGGATAAAATCACACGGCAAAAGGGGAAAGCCACATAGTCACTGTGCACGCAGATAATCAAATTCACAGTAAGCACTTCGGTTTCTTCACATTTCCTGGGAAGGGTTAGAACCGTCCTCGACTCCAATCGCCGTTTTCCCTTAACATACTCGCGTAGAGCAGCTGTTCGCCGAGCAAACTGTAGCCTAATGTGGTACATGAACTCCATTTTTCCACCTTGTATTACTTCACAATATATTCCACCCTTTATTGTCTGTTACTAAAAACATTCTGGAATTTACAAAACCTGTGGCATTTGCTTCGGTTGCAAGGTTTGAGAAGTTGCCCGCAGTGTGCTTACTGAAGTGAAAGCATAATCAGGCAAATGCAGTGTTAAATTGACTTTTGCTTGTGTATACGTTATATACTTTGTAAACCTTGTTTCCAGACAATTTTCTTTTTCTCCAGACTGGATGCCTTCATGTGACAAATTATGGTGGAAAAGCAGAGACGTTACTACAATCCCAAATCACGCACCCTGCACCCACATCCCATCACCCCTCTTGGCGTTTTTAAATAGTTTGGATAACTTGGTTGTGCAAATTTTCTGCAATTCATTTCAACATGTCTACCAGTGGGGTCGTACCATTGTATTTCAGCACAGAATGTTTCATACTGCGCTTTCGTAAATCATACAATGTCCACCGATCGACATGTAAGTTTCCAGTGTACATATTCCATGAATTACATTAAACGGAAATAAGAGCTCATACAATGGCCAAATATGACATTTCAACAAAACAATATACATCGTACTATTATGCTCGTCATTCTTCATTTGATTAAAAAAAGTATGGCAAACGAAAAAAACTACGTGTGAATATATGCGTATTCCATCTCGCTGTTTAAAGGACTACAGAACTATGGTTGAGAATGCCTGCAAACCTACACCACACAATCAATATAGGCTAATCACGGAGCCGGCACTCAAGATCAGTCAAATATTATAGTTGTTCCATGCTAAACTGCATCATGTTTAGAATGAAGTGATTATGTGTAATAACTACAAATAGGATTGTTCAATGTGGCTTGTTAGGTGCAGTTTTTGACGGCAAGTTACACAACAGCACCACAAATGACATGACGCACAAAATGTTAACCCCACTCAGCTACAGCCATACCAATCTAACAGTAAAAAGCCACAAACTACTACAAACATGCAGGACATCAGATTTTTCCTTCATTTAAAGATGGCAACAACGATTTATCAGCTATAAATTCATCACTGTAGACACATGGCTACATTTCGCTCATACTATAATACGTGAAATTGGCAACTACCCTTTTAAAACTAATTTTCAACTGATTTGCTGACGTGTAAGCGTCAACGAAATATTAACATCTACTAACACGGTTCATGTTTGCTTACCTACTGGATAGTATACTGCCTCAGCTAATAAGTTAAAAGGTTATTATAAATGAACGTTTTTCCACCGGTAGATAACACTTTTTCGGTGGTATTGTTCTGCACCCAATACAATGCATTTAAATTTCACACGTACTTTAAGCGTATGTCTGCAACCTATAATGTTGCTTTCCCATACCTGTTTCAATTGTCATCATGTTTCAAAACTTATAAAATAGCAGCAATGAAAGGATGCCATTCCACCTCCGAATAAAACATGCTGCACACGTTTTCTACCATATTTGTGTGAATACCCACAGCCCAAGTAATGCATCCCTGTAAGCGATCTGCAGCCAATGGTATGCATGATATTACAATATGCAAACAAAAATGGCATGTAAGTGAACATCAGAGCAATATACTTTGTGATAGTGCATTAGTGCACAGGGCGTGTCATGTCAGAACGGCTCTTAATGCACTTGAATATCATAGGGTAACCATGCCTTCACATAACCATATTGTCATGCTATAAATTAAATGTATACACACAACCTTCTCAACCATGTTATTTGCGAATATCGAAAGACCTGTTTACATGGGCCAGACAGATGCCAGCAAGCATCACACCCTGTGAAGATAAAGCAGCCACATCCAACTACTGTGCTAAGCTGCGCGATTGGTGTTGTCTGCAGCATTGAGAAGAATGTGGCCAATAGGCACAACGCTGCAACCAGTTCATTGTCAATGCGCACATGTAAGCAGGCTGCAAAATGGTGCAAATAAATACACTTACATTGTATTACCCATCAGCACTGGAAGTTGTGACGTGTAAATATTTCAACACGCGTTGACTACTTATAGCACTTGCTATGCGGCTCAATACTATTCCAATAGACTTCCCTTGCTGTATGGGTTTGCATGAATGTGTGATGGTGTGTGCGTGCAAGTGTAAATACTCGTGTTGCTGTGGAACAGATCACAGTCCCTGCTTGGCAAGGGCAGCTGTGACGTCGTCAGCCAGTGTCTCCAGCTGTGGCTCCACCATGTTTATACTGCCGGTGGAAGAGGCGTTGGAGTGGCGACGTTGTGGGGAGCCGCCCATCGAGTCGTTTGCCGACACAGTTATAATCTCGGCACCATGGTCCGTTCGCGCTCGGGCACTCTCGCGGAATTTCAGTTTGTGGCTTTCAATCTGCAAGGATGACGCTTCATATTACGGAGGCAAGGAGAAACGTGCCACATGAAATGAACTGGAGAAATGAAATGGTTTATGAATGGATTGATAAAACATATAATGGAAGTGTTCCTATTATTTTCTTGCAAAGTGAGTCACCACTCTGTTTTACGAGCTGGTGCACATTTTCATGATAGAAAAGATAATGTATTTGTAAAGCTGGTTGAAGTTTTTTTTACCAGGTTTCTCAATGCAATGACATTATTGAGTATACTCTAATATAAGCGCATAACTTTATCTATCTGTGATGAACGCTGCACTTTCCGTCGTTTTCATGCAGGGGGCGCTGCAAACCTACGCGCCCCCTGCATGAACGATGGAGGTGCAGGGACAGACGTTCGATTACGTTGGAATCGATCTGCAAACGGCGGTCTTCTCGCACGGCCAGCTCTATATGTTGCCTTATCTCAATCCCGCAGTCCCAAACAGGTGAAAGTCTGCATCGAACCGAACCCCCAGCACGGCCATCTACTTGACGACGAGAGAAAATGAACACGAAATGTCCTTTTCAATTAAGTCTTCCAGATGTAAAATGTTTAAGCTTTTAATGAAGAAATAAAATGATCTAATTCAAAACATAATACAATTCAAAGACGTTTCATTTTAAAACTTCAAAACGGAGCATCGGGTGCTTGCGTGAATGTGTCGTTCGTGTGCAATTTTTTGTGACTTTCCTGGTCGAAGGATGTAAATGGTTGTGAGGGGGCGCCACAGGCGCCGCCACAGGCGCCCCCGAACAACCCCTACTATTTTAATAATAAAATAAGCATTTTCTAAATATATTTTTCTAATACTTACATTATGTGTGACTCTGCTCTGCCTCAGCATCCTCGGAATATGTGGAGTGAACAATGATTGTTTCAACTACTGTTAACTCTTCATCTTTCATATCCTTATAAAATAAAAACGTTATTTTGCAAAAGATGAAACAATAGCATGGTAAAAACACAACAAAAATGGACATGAAAATTGAAAGCTAAATGAAACGTACAAGACGAATTTTTAAGTGAAAACAATCGAAAAAAGAAAAGCTCACGTTTATATAAAATAATTTCCATATTCAAGTTTGATGAGGGTATGATTTAAAAAAAATTTGAAAAAAATTTCCTTTTTTCAGATGATGGTCCACCATTCAATTTGGAATTCTCCCATATTAGTTTTTTTATGTATAACCACAGAAAATTTGCTTTGTAATACGTACACAACTTTAATCAGAAATTAAGCAAAGTATATATGCAAATTTTTTAGATAAAAAAAAACTAATTTGTAAGTAAAAACATCCTGGTCAGCTAAGGGAGCTGTCCTACCTTCACAACGCCCCCACCAGGCATGTGATCCACATTGTCCATGGAGCCAACTTTCGACTGGGCCTTGTCCTTGAATTCCAGCTTGTGGTTCTCAATAGAAATGTGACCGCCACCTGCAAAAAGAATGAGCCTTCTTATAACCCGTTTCAAATTGCCTAATTCACGGAATAGAAATGACACCAATGTCCTCATAAATTGGAGCACAAACGCTTAGTGTCGACACAAAATGAAACATCACACTGCGTAAAATAGCTGCATCATAACTGCCAAAAGATAATCCTGTGGAGGAAATTAATGTAAAAATTAAGTTATATCCACTCAGATATGTTCTTGCCTTGTACTGATCAAAGCAACGTTATCTTTGAAAGCTTCTCTGAACAAAGGCTAGGACTACATATCTACCTGTAGCCAGAAAACTATATGAAGTCAGTAGTATTTTGAAACACTGGTCACTATGTGACTACAATCACAGCAGAACCATCTCTGTGAACAAAAGTTCAAGCTTGATTGATGTATTGCTCAGTCACAGGACATAAGGAATAATTTAATATATTCTGTAATTTTCCACTTTGACCCATTAAATTTACAAGAGACAAATACATCAATTTAAAGTTTTATGACAATTACTTTATTCACACCTTGGTTTCAGGTGTGTTTCAAGAAATCAAGTTAATTTAATTTAATTTACATTTCATACAAAGTTATATCTAATTTATTCCATAGCACAGGAATAAAACCAATTCTGAAAACTGTAAAATACATTTATCTAAATGATTGAAACATATTTTAGCCAATAATTAATTTCTAGGTAAATGTTACTTGACAAATGTATTTGAACTTACAGATGATAAGATGTAATATCTCCAGCACTCACCAGGTTTATGCTTAAGATTATCCTTTGAGCCACATTTGGATGTCACATGACTTAAGTCAATTTTCTTGCTGACAATCTGGACCTAAAGTTTAAACAAAGAATACATTCAGGTTTAAGAAAAACAATCAAATAATACACATAAACATGAATACTTTGAATAACACAGAAATTCTAACACATACAGCAATATCTGCAATACCACACTACAGTACATTCATGGACTTGCAGTATAATACAGAAAATCATTTTAATCAGAGCATAGTATCTTAAATGCTTTTACAAGCAAAATGTGCGTTATTCAATACAGAAATGTTAGTTGGGACAGGTGTTAGTTTAAAGGACAATACAATGGCAGTCCAAACACATTTACAAATATATAAATGGTAAACCATATGTATTACCAGCAGAGCATACATTTTGGTAATTATATGCATTACTAGAATACAGATGTAATTGATTAACTATCAAATGATATACGTAGTATTTCTCTCAGTAATGTTGTGAAAACGAATTTCCCACACGTCACTGCCACCATCGCTAACAGAACGCAGATGGACTCCCAGACAATGTTTTAATTTCGGTAACTTTCCAATTTACACTTCTGCACTGTATCGTCCCAGTTTGTGCAGTCCTCTACCTCCCGACCTTGATGTGCGTATGACTTGGTCATTTGAAACCAGCAAATCCCTTTCCAGCCAGATAGGGAATGGTCACAAATAGGCGTCACTTGGAGGAATTATACCGTTTCCCATTTTCCCCAAGATGATTGGAGAAGCAACCACACCCCAGATATCTCTCCAGGGAGGTGGGTGGGATGCAAAGATGGCAGCAACAAGTGTGATAAATGAGTTTTGACATTTTAAGTGATGCAAAAAACTATTTTCCCCTCCGTATCACTGCCACCCTCGTCAATTTGGCGAAACAGTAGAACCTGTCCAGAGCTCTCATCTAGGAGTGGGTGGAGAGCCGTCTTCACAACTGTCCTTCCAAACGTTGCCATCTGCCATTTCACACCAAATCTTAACATTCTGGCTTCAACTTTCCAACAATTGGCCTAAAACACAACCACCGCAGCGTGAAAAAGCACCTATGGTGCCAATCACTACAAATACCACCTAAGCAAGTCAGAAGCGTGTGGTTTAGTGAATTAGCAATAGCCGGGCATCTGAAATTTTCCACCAAACAGCGATGATTTGAACCACGAATACTTTTGCCGGATATAATGCTGCATACGCCACAGCACTTGTGCCTGTGTCTCCCCTCTTTAGGGGCTGGTGCTATGGCCTCAGGAATAAACAACTTGGTATCTTGAGTGCCACTGTTGAACTGGCAAGGGTGACACTGGGGAAATGTTTCTGCAAATGATGACCACGACACAACATTAAGCAACAGTAAAACTGACGTCTTATAATTCTTTAAGTAATAATAAGCCACTTTTCACGTCACATAGGCACGTAATGCCAGGACTGACAACAGAGGCACATACATTCCCACCACCAGGGGCGTGTTTGATCTTGTCCTTGGAGCCACATTTTGACACAACATGAGTGACGTCCAAAGGCTTGTTCTCAATCTTGACCTGAAAAGTTAAACAAATTGCGGCATACCTCGGAGTGGGCTTCTGTGTTCATGCCTTTATAGAAATGCTAACATCACCCACGTAGGTAATACAACTGTACAAAAACAGAAACTCCAAAGCTGAAATTACTGTAACCATTGTCTCTTGATGTTTCAAAAACACAAATAGGTGTAAATTACACAGCCTGTGTGCGCATATGCAAACACCATCAGTATTTCTTGAGGTGTATTGTAGTCCTCTTGTCGTAAGGCACTATTAAAAAAAAATTGCACAAATTTTACTGACAGGCAACAGAGATAGAGATATGGAAATCATGGATCAGTAAGACTCATCAGTATATTATAGTCACCAATGTTCACTGCCTCTGGAAACCACAAATACGGTGTAAATCACACATACACTCCAACCAAATATAAAAAAACACATATATGGTGTCAAATGCAGAATTTGCATTGGCGAGCATGTGACTATACCATGCTGACGAGTCCTAATAATAAAGAAACCAGTCCACAATTTTACACCTCCATATCACTCCTGCCTGTCAATCGCTCACATTTTCTCACATTTCTTTTTAAGGTGACCTGAGACAAGAGGACCAGAATACATTTCTTCAGGAATTGCAGATAGTTTTACATATGCACAGAGGTGTTGTACTTTTCACACATCCCTGTGTGTTGTTTGAAACTCGTTTTCTGGCCTGCACTATTATTCTGCTATGGGTTTTTCTCGTCTCTGAATGTGCAAAAAAAGTTCTGTAGTGGTGTGGTATTTTAAATCATTCGTTCCCAAACATGCTATCAGAAAAAAAGGTACATGGCAAAACACATCTATGGAGCCATATTTTAAAATACCAAGAGCAGCTTTCCAAAACATGTTAAAGTCTTCAGAAGAACCTCATGTATGGTGAATAATGAGCACATTTATGAAGCATCACATGATCAATTCAAACACTTGTTACACCAGCAACAGAGAATGACACACCTTGCCTCCTTTGGGCTGATGTTTCATGTTGTCGGTGGAACAGATCTTGGATTTGATGTTCTTCAGGTCAGGCATAGGGGCGGTAGTGATGGGGCGCGTCTGTCGCGAGGACCCCGGTGACTTAGGCGGTGTGCGTACAAGAGCCACCATGCGCTTCTCGCCAACGCGGTGTGTAGCAGGCTGTGTGCCCGAACCCCGTGAGCGGCTGCCAGGGGTGCCCCCTGTTTTTGGGGTCCCTGGTGTGGTGGGTGTAGTGATGCCACTCCCCTTATCCTTCTTCTCCTCTTTGTCTCTGTTGAACGTAGGTTTGGCTCGAACAGACATAGCCCCTGTTGGCCAAGACAAGCATTTATACAATGTAGGTTTTCACAGTTGTACCATACAGCTCTCAGATTTATTTTTTGGAAATCAAGCTCCCAGCACACAGAGCAAATTATCAGACAGTCAAACAACACGTGGTACAACCTGAAACCACATCAGTGAGCTACAAACATTTATAATTTGCTAAATATTATCTTACAGTGTATCACTTCTCCACAGTAACAAATCAAACTAATATTTATATAAACAGGTAAAGGGAACTAAAGTTCCAAAAAAAATGTCCGTGCATAAAATTTTAGTTTTTGTTCTTCAAAACTATGAGATGCGACTGGTTATTCACCTGTAGCATTCGGGGACCTCTGCTGTATAGAATCGAGTTTCTTCTGGTCAGCCAGCTTGGGATCTGTTTTGAGATATACAGGTACATTATAAGTCTTTTAAAAAATCACTGTAACATTAAATACCATGTAATTTGCAAAATAATAAAGACACTAAATGTATTAGGATGACCAGCAGGATTGGCATTGGCTCAATCTATAAGGTGTCTAAGGTACCAATTCCAATTTTTTTCAATAAACGGACAAGCATCTGCCTCTCACTCTTACTTGTGCCCGTCTCCCTCCCACTTTCTCTGTCTCTCCCTATTGTGTTTTGATCTGTCTGTACCCATCCCAGGCTCCGTCCTTCTTTCACTCCCTTGAGTCTCCATCACCCTGTCTGTCTCTCCATCCTAGCTTGCCGTTTCGGTCCCTGTGTTTCACTGTACCACTCGTTTTCTACTCGTCTCCCTCTATCTCTGTGTATCTCCCTCTGTCGCACCTCTCCATCACCATGAGTTTGTGACAGGAGGTTTTTGTTATTTGCAACTCCTATCCACTGCACTTAACCTTCCTTCCCCACCCTATTCATTCCAGTGGACTGTAGTGGTCACATGGCTACGGTGGGTGACCACCATATTAAGACTTGCATTTAATTATATTTCTTTAATTAGGCAAAAAACGGATATTTTAAAAAAAATTGACATTTAAAGGCAGAGCAAATAGCTTATGTACTCATTCTAAATTTAGTTTCCGTAAAAAAATATGAAAAGAGCTATACACTGTTGACTTCACGTTATTTATATTCTCTACAAATTATTTAATGATCAACAAACCTACTTGTTTTCAAATATCAATTATTTTCTTTTTATAGGACAGCAATCAAGATTATAGGCCACAATCAAACAAGCTGTCACCTTTACCAATGTAATACTGTGGTGTTTGTTATATTTTAAAACAGTTAAAATACAGTATCTCTATACAAACCAAAATAAAATTGCAGACGCTAAAATGTCAGTAAAATATCATCTATATGATAAGTGCATGTAAAATACCTCGTGGTATTTTACATGCACTTATCATTCCCTTCCTTATTAACGAGGAAACATCACTTTGAACAATCAATATACAGAATCAGAATATTTATTTATACTTGAGGAATCCGATGAGTTATAAAGCTATTTTTGTACAGATGTCCAGTCGACAAGTGTAGAATAAGACTGGAGGTGTACCGAAATCCAGATATTCACTTCTCCACATAACCCACCAGTTCTTTTTGGGATGCCAGAACTGGGAGCCTTGGACTTGAGTTCAGCTGGTTCGGTCTTTGGTTTCACAGCACTGGGTGGGGATGAGGATGGCTTGGCAGCAGATGGGTCTGGACACGTAGCTGGACTCTTCTGTGGGCTTTTGAGGTCTACAACCTGTCCACATATTAGTTTTATATTAAAACAAGTTCTTTATTAAAATACACGTGGTAGAGTCTCATGTATATTTGTTAATGATAAAAAGACAAAACATAATTTCTAACATTTTTCTAAAAACTCATAAAATGTATTCATAACATGTTTAAAAATTGCAACTGCTGCTCAAGACTAATAACTGTAGTATAATAGTATGCATTTTCATCCATGATTGGTTTCTAAATAGAATAAAAAGTTAAACATATAAATGTAAAAATGATATCCGTATCATATGTACCCAAATCGTAAAAAGAGCATTAATACTAAAAACTCCTTTTTCACAAACTCTGTACTCAAGAGGATAATACAAATTATGTGTAGTCACTTTGTCACAAATGTTCCTATTAATAATGTGGTGGCCCATGCCTTGGTTTTAGCAATATTTAATGTGATTTCAGCTTTTTTTCCTTACCTTAGTGTGAACTTTGATGCTGGCAGATGTAGGTCTAATGGCTACAGATGTATTTCTTGTGAAAGTGGTTGAAAGTTTAGAAAAGGTGGCAGCTCTAGGACTTGCACCTAAATCTCTTCTAAATTCAGGTGCAGTGCCGGGTCTAGTCCTTTCAGATTGGCTCGCTAGATGAGTTGCAGTAAATACTTTCGATTTGTAGCTTGAAATATTTTTCACATCTGCAGGTTTATTAAGGGGCACTTTTCCAGGTGTACTACCTATCGACTCATGCTTTTCAGTGGTTTTTATCACGGACTCTGCCGATTCAAACACTTGTTTTGGCCTACTTTTGTTAGAATTAGTTTTTGAAGGTCCCAACTTTTGTCTATCAGGTGTAACACTGGGAGTATTTTTCATAAGAGATATAGTCGGCTCTACATTTTCAGTTGAATCCAATGTTTTTGCTGGAGTTTTAGTGGATGCAACATTTGCTGAGAATCGTGGCCTTGTAGATGTCTTATCTCTTGAACTGGGGATCAGTGTTTTACTACTGGTGGGTGTTTCTGAGACTTTTGAACTTGCTAATGTGTGAGAAGATTTACTGTCCAACTGGGTAATTGGCAATTTTGCTGAATAAAATAAGGTGGAGCAATTTCTGGATGTTTTGTTTGATGCTAAAGAACCTTTGAGATACTTTCTTGGTTTGACTAAATCTATACTTGCAAGAGGAGCAGAGGTCGTTGCTACTGTTGTCTTGACAGGAAAGTAAACCAAAAAACATGCAAAAAATGAAAGTAATCACTGTCATTAAAGCAACAAAATACAAAAATTAAATTAACAGCAAAAAATATAATTTAAACTAATACTATTCAAAGTAAACTAAACATTGTACATAAAATAAAACAACACGAGATGTGGGCTTTAATTTTACGTTTTCCATAACAAGTTGTGAATGAGCCTTTACCCGATATGCAATGTGCAGCATCTGGAAATATTAACGGCTGAATTTTTTGTTAAATATACATCTATATTATGTGGACATTATCAAGTAATGTGTTGTAATATGTGCATAAAATAGTATGATTTGCACTGAATATGATTTTCAAACTTTAAAAATGTATATGTAAATAGAAACGGATTGGTGGTGGGCAGTTTATCATCAGTTAGCATGAACCATTGGATGTGGCTAAAGAAGCCCTGCCTTAATAATAAATGAATATATTGATAATGCTTTCTACAAGTGCAGATATTGATGTTATACCTTCTCTGTTTCGGAACAACTCAAGGCTGTCTCCTCAATGGATGCATCTTTAGAAACCACTTCACTTTGAGCTCTGCTCTCTGTGGGGAACAACAATGCATTTTTAAACGTTTTTTTTCATTATACACTTGAGGAACATACGTGAGGATTTATTGACGAATATATCAAGTAAATTTAAACAACGGATCCATTAATCTGACGATATCAGCAAGCACCTCAGACCTTTTTCTAGCGGCGATGGATCTTCAGGGCTCCCTGCATCATCCTTGGTGTAGGCCTCGACAGCGTGCTCTGCTGCTATATGAGTGGGAAAAACCTGCACACTTTCTACTTTATCTTGCAGCTCCTTTTCTTCTTCTGCTTTATGGATGAGCTAGTGGCAAATGTGTCTGATGAACATCATAAAAGGGTCATAGGAAAAAAAACACCAACATTTAGGAATCACAATGAGCTTACGAGAATGCACAAAACAATGGTCAAGTATAAAATGAGTACACAGTGAAAGGAAACAAATTAAACCACCACATACAATGCGGTGGTTGCACATATGGAATGAAAACATTCAATAGAAAGCTTGCCCGGGCAATTTTAATCGAAGATACCTCAAAATAAAAACGATAAAATTTTAAAAACAAAGTCCCTTTGCTGCAGAGAGCATGACTGGTATATTTCAAAAGGACACACCTTCTTGCCACACATGGGACAGCTGTTCAGGACTCTCCACTTCCCCCAAGAGCTCAGCTTCCTTAAGTGGCTGTCCTGCCTCAACAGTCTCCAAAAGAACCGCCTCTATGTGTTCTTCTGGGCTCTGTTGCACACCTAGCTCAGTGCTTGGGCTGCTGACAGACACGTCTACATGGGCACACGAGTGGTGGAGCATGAGGACCACGTGACAGTGCAAACACCCACAATGCATTAAAATTAAATCTTAGTCAATTAATATGCAACGCACATACCAGCACCTTCGTGCATTACCGTATTTGGGAGAAAAAAAACATGGCAATGCAAACTATGGCAGCGCAAGGGACAGCAATGGCATGCAGAGGTCTTTATTCAGCAGTGGAGACAATGGCTGATGATGCTGATAACACGAAAAGATGCTGAAAATACATTATTAATGAAAAGGCATCATTCTTGAATTAAATATGGTGAGCTTTCTATATGTTTTGACGTTATAGTTTTTTTTCAGAAACAATCTTGGCTAAGCCAAACACCAGGTTGGATTTTACCTACATTTTAAATTTGCACACTGACCTCCAACGTCTCTACATTTATACATATGGATGCCATATACGGTCATCGTTTAAACTCGTGAATAAAAATAAGGAACATGAATGTGCCAAGATTTAATCACCATATTACTTGATAATGAGGAAGTTCTGATGAGAAAAAAACACACTTGCATAGAACCTATCTAATGACTGTACAAGTAAACATGTTAGAAAATATTTTTAGAAATGTTAGATCTAAGATTAGAAAAACAGTAAAGAAGCAATGCCACAATCCGACATAAATGCCAGGGTTTTCAGGATGTAATTTTTAGCTAAGACAAATGCTTAATTTTCTTGGCCACGTCCTGTATGCTTCCAAGTGAGAGCATTGAAAGATGGGTTTAAGCTGGTGCATGTGTGCTGAAAAGTTAATTTAGCAGTATTTAATTGCTACACACACAAGTCAACGCATGTGCAAGAGTGAGGTCAAGGTTTTCAACGTTAAAATATAAACCAATGGTAAACAATCTTGATTTGAAGCTTTCGTGACTGCAGGAATTCATACTCTTTGGTTCTTTTGGTAAAGTCACGTAGGTAGAAAAATCTATATATAAGGACTTATTTCAGCAGCCTGTTTCTCTCTCCCACCTGAAGACGATTGCTCGTGTGGCGATCGAAACGTCGTGATCTATTATTTTTTCTACCTACGTGACTTACCGAAAGAACCAAAGAGTGATGGTAAACATTCGACTTTTAATAAGCACACAAATTGACTGAAATAGGAAGCATACAATACCTGCATAAAACTTAATTAACTTGGTAAATACACTATATATGATCCTTATGGCGGTACCCCGGGGTACCAAATAATACAAAATGGCCAAGGCAATTTAATATTTTATTTCTGGGACACTATTCTTTCCAGGGGTGAACTTAACTCCGCGACTGGGGTACCAATCAATCCAAAATGAGTGCTACTCGGCGATTTTGAAACGCCAAATGTTAGCATAAAAAATCCGTTATCGAAAAATTATACTATTAATAGTGCATCGTGTACAGCTCGTCGAGATGCATCGATTACCGCATCGCCGACCATCAACAGACTACAAATGATTGCATCACGGACATTATGCGAGAACCGGGATACTATGGCACCCCGGGGTACCGCCATAAGGTTCACATGTCTTGAGGAAACTGCAGTTCGATCCAGATTCCTGTAGAGGATCAACCTTGCTAATATAACATCTGAAATAAGTGGGTGATTTATATTCGAGGGTAAATGAGATTGAGGTCAAACTAAATATTAAAGACTGCTTGAGTGGTAACAATTGCAAAATGAAATGACAACATAGTCCCCAACTTAACATCCATCACACTTTCTGATAATTTAATGTGAAAGGTAAACCTATTTATTTGTGTGTATGTATGATATATTTGCAGGCAGGTGATTCCAATACTGGCTGATACTGTTATGTCATTCTTCATCTCAAGAGGTGAAAAGGCCATAGTGGAGTATACATATAAAAAATAACACACCAGCATGCAGTTCATTTCACAAACATCTCGACTCACGTTAGCAAATAAATGATTTAAAAAAATGATATTAGTTTGATCTTGACCAAACATTAGATCAAAATTATATTGCCGATCTAGAGTGTGGATCATCAATACGAAAAAAGGCACACGCCCTTTTGCACAATGGGCATACCATGCATTGATATCTTGTCTTCAGCAAAATTCACCATGTGGTTATCACAATTAAGGGATTGACAATGTGGTTGCATTGAAATACACATTTAAAAGCCACATTTATATATTTTGCAGTGAAATTATCAATGTTGCAAAAAATTATGCAATTCCTCTTATTACATGCAACCTTACAGGAAACAAATAAACATGGCTGAATATTGCTTTCACGTTTGAGTAAAAATCCTTTTTTAGAAATGCATTGCTAGAAAGCACACAAATAATACATGCGTTTTATGCAAAAAATATTATATTAACTACAATTTAAGAAATCAGCATATAAGAGATACAAATAAAATGTAGGACCTATATAATTCTGCAGCCGAACAAAAATCAACAGTCCAGCCCTTGCTTACCATCTATCTGCCCGGCAGCTGGGAGGTTCAGGGGAGGAGACAGTGGTGGTGATGGTGGCAGGTGGACCGGCACTGTCGTGGCTGGGTGGGAAACAAAAAGAGAAAAAAATGGTGAGCGTCCCCAATTTATCTGCGGAACAATACAGCCGAGGTGGTGCTGCTGCTTCACCCCGGCGTGGATCCATCCACTGGACTATTTTATATAAAATGCCACTACAGCATTCTCCAATCGTCACACAATAAACGTAGCAGGCATATAATTCCACGTAGTCGGCTTAATGTTAAGTCTGTAGGAATAAAACATAAATATTTGCAGGATATCTTGTCATGTCATGTTTGGAGTTAATCTCCATTTTGGAGTAATCAAATCGGCACAATGAATGTCAAACTACCAGGTTGTATTATTAGCCATCGATGATGGGTGGATCTTTCATTGACATTTTATACGTGACTCTTTGGATCAGATTAAAAAAATTGTGCAAGAGTAAAAACGTAATAAAAAAAATACTATTTTACAGGTTAAAACTGGATGTAACTGGAGGAAAAGAAACAGTGAAATGAATAATAAATGTAAATTGAAAGTAGCGCATAAAAATAAAATGGCTGAATTATTTTATTCAGAGATGGCATCACTGACCTAATTCATACAATCAGCATTTTGCTGATGTGCAGAATTACCAAATGCAACAGTTAAATCATTATATTTTTTATGATCGTCGTACTAATAAAATGTAATTGAGTTGTCTACATGAATAAATCAACTACAGATTATTTGCAATGTATAAGAAGCAGGTGGCCTATAATTCACACGTACCAACATGATACTCTACATAAACTAGGTTGATGTGTCATGTGCCTCAATTTTGAAAAAAACTCCAGTCAGCACCACAGCTTGACACAAACCGAGAAGCACAAAGCCTGCACACTAGGGACCCATGAAGCCAATTCCATAAAAAAAAAACCCAGCAGGATGGTCACACCAATGGGGTTTGCAGACAGCCGTAATGTCGAGTGAGGTCAGTCTGGTTCAGGGTGGGCCCACGTGATCTGTCTACAAGCTCTCTGGGTTTTAACACATTGCTATGGCAACAGCAGCTCCACTGTAGAATAAAGCAGCCTCCCCAGCAAACTGGAGCGCTTGGCAGAGCAGCAAGGGAGCCGGTAATGAATGCACGCTCACGTCAGCTGCAGCCTCAAGGAGGTCACTCTGAGCAAAAGTACAGTATGCATGCAACGACTGCCCTATATTTTAACAATTTGCACAAAAAAACCTTTTTTGTGCATTGTGTACCTTTAAAAAATATAAGCTTTTACCAGCTACATTTTATTCTCAGTATGCATGTAATGTTGTGTAAATGGACTGATAAAAGGATGGAGAAATGATGTAATGGTTCACTCACTGCATTACGAACCCTGAAAACCCAAGTAAAATTTCATGCCACGGCTAACATCAATGGCGAAATGTATCTGAACCTTCACCTACCCGTACATATGTGAAGCATGGTCAAACAACACAGCATGCATGACTGACACGGCCTGGAGAAGCCTTCATCCAGCAGTGGATTGACAGAACTGTACATTTTACATGATAAAAGCTCCTTAAACTTAGAAATATCTGGACTTGTACAGAACATATATTTTGTATTTACAATAGGCCATATACAAATCTGAGTTTGATAACATGTTAATATATAGTAAATTAACGGAATACAGGTTTCCCTAGCTTTGTAAATCTGAGTCTGTAAATTTGTGGATATCTGTGTAAACCTATAGGTCTCTATGGGAACATATGGGTGTCTATAGGAGTAGTTTTTCCTCGCATTATGCGAGTTTGTTCTGTGCGATTTCGCATACACATGGAAAATTTGCTCTATGCGTAATATAGGTTTTTGGGTCAGATCACGTTATTTATAAATGTGTCGTAACCCTCCACCACCCGACACGGCCAAACAGTAAAAAATGTGTCACGTTTTCAAAGGACAAAATAATTCACTTCTTTAGCCCACTGGTGTGCTGAAGAGAGAATCAACAGCATTTTAAAATTTGAGTAGTACGACGTTTCGCTGATAACAATCAACTTCATCGGGCAAGAATGGTGCTCTCCTGTTGCTTCCGGTCTTAAATAGAGCAGCATCAGGGTGATGTCATCATTTAATTCAATTCAATCTGGTGCAGTGATTCGAGGCAAGGAGGGGGAGGGTATTGTAATTATATAGATTGGTAATCATTCAATTGTTATTCATTGGTATTTGTTTCCCTTATAAGGAATTGTAATTGTATTTATTTGATAATACGCTTCCAGGCCGCACTGTTGAAATTTTAAAATGCTGTTGATTCTCTCTTCAGCACACCGGTGGGGCTAAATAAGTCAATTAATTTGTCCTTTGAAAACGTGACATTTTTTACTGTTTGGCCGTGTCGGGTGGTGGAGGATAACGACACATTTATAAATAACGCGATCTGACCCAAAAACCTATATTATGAATAATATTGGTCGCGAAAGCCTACGTGTTAAATCGCTCTATGCGGTTTGAATTCACTCATAAGCTCTGCGGTAGGACGTGGGACAACAGTGTGTGCATACTGTAGGCCCTCCTCGTGGGATTGTGCTTTGTGTACCCCTTTTTTGGAACACATCTACCGCATAAAACCTGTGGTCCAATCAAATCATGACTCAATACAAACAAAAGCATTTAAACAGTCAACGAAGTGCACGTAAGTGCTGTATTACCCAACAATAGAAAGTGCATAATTTTACATTATAAATAATATGAATTAGGTTATTTCTGTTATGTGAAGTAAAAATTGATGCTTCGCTTGAGTCAAATCAAATCATTTACAGTACTGCAAAATGAAGGCCAAGCCTACTGTAGTTATCAAACGCAATTATCTGTTGCCTGATAGAATCCCTGTTAGCATCAATGTGCAGCGCTGTGTGTAGGTGTAATTTATTTTGTGTAAATCAAATATTGTGGCCGTACACATTTAACAGCCTCCCCATGATCAATGTAATTTTTGTAGACGTTTAATAACTACCAGCTATAACAAATAACAACAGCAATTATATGATGCAATGCTTAACGAGTAACATATGCAGCAAACCAGGACCAAGAAATTATCTGACCAACGCTGCACAAACCTTGGTTCTCCATTTTTAATGGAGTTACTGCGTTAACTGAAGATAGGCTTCCCTCAACCCCATTTTGTTTAACATTTGGTAAGCTGTGCCCATTTTCATGGACGGGACTCTTCTTTGTCTCTGGCATGGACTTGTTCTCTTGTGCTTCAGGTGTGCCAACAGCGTGCTCCTTGGCTCCAGAGACATTGTGTGGCGACAGAAGAATGCCTCCCTCTGGTGCAAGCCCCAGTGGTGAGGCTCCTGGGCTGCTGTCCATGGGTTGCTGATGCATGTGCTGCAGCTGCTGCCAGTCTTCGTCTTCAGCCATGTCACCGAATGATTTCTGCTCTGCCTACTGAAGCCAAAACAAAAAGATCTGGTTAAAAAAGGAGCATATAGTTTAACATCATTTGGATAAAGTACAAAAATACAATGGCAGTCTTTATTCCAAAAATATACAGGTTTAATGTGGATAACTTAAAAACACAAATAAATGATACACAATAAATAAGCAACTTATTTGTGGGCCCACATTAAAACTACTGTAACTAGAATATGAAAATGTAATAGAAGTATACCTAAAGTTTTACAAGATGTGATTAATTTAGTTGAAAAGCAATTCACTTAAATGATATCAATGTAAGTGGCATATACAACATAGTGGATGGAAAATATGCAACAGCGATGAACTCTTTTAACCTGTGCTTTTCGTTATAACTAATGCAGCGACTCAATTAGCCTAAAACATTTTCTCATGGGAGCTCTGTCCGCTGTATGTATGGTAGATTTATCAACCTCTCACATTGAGGATCAATCAGCTCCACCATCTGCAAGGGCAGCCAAATATCCCAGAAAGGCTGGCAACAGTAAGTAGGCTGCATAGTAATAGGCAGGCCATTGTTATCTTAATCTCTCTTACAATTAAGAGACTTAGTAGATTGGTGCAGCTGTGTTAAACATAATTTACTGACATGGATGTATTTTTTACAGATAAGGGAAACTATCAATTACATTAGATTGCTAAATCAACTAAAGGCATAAAGGTAATGTTGGCTTTATGAGGGGCGTTTTCCACTTTAGATTTCCTCAAGGGCATTTCTAAATCTTTTCTCTTTAATTGAAGCTATTAAAATTAGTGTTTAAAAAAATATATATACTGTATTTGAATGCTCTTCCTGTAGATGTTGGAAAGAAACTGTTAAATGTCGGTCAGACACAATGACAGTTCATGCTTATCTATGCATGGGCCCTTCGGGTCAATTGTTCTCCGAACTGTAAATCTGCACCCACCATTCAACTCCAGCATATTTTATCATCTGACTTCTTAAACATATACCTAAACTTTATTATGAACCTGTATTTGCTGATAACATTGTGACAAAATATATTAATGAAATATGCGTACAATTAAACTAAATGAAATGTAAAGTGTATTCAAATTTTTTTTCTTTAAAATCACATACATTTTGTACAACCACGGAACTAAGAGTCGATCTGCAAGGTTACATGTAGTAGGGTAAAGTGGGGGTACTACCATTGATTTAAAAAGTCTGGCGAGCATGGAAGAATAGGTCACAATTCCCCCGAGTGGGGTTCTCGACCACTCCCTACAGTGGAATGAGCAAGCAATTGCAGGGCTCCACCTTTACCTTTTACAGTACTGACATGAATATATATCCACTTCCTGGATCTCTTCAATATCTATACGATAGATTCATGACTAAATATTATATAAATGTTATACTGGTAGGAACCTCCTGGTTACACCAGCCCACAGGGGATTATTTTGTCTGTCCGTCCTGCATCTAAAAATGGGAGGGGTGGGGCTGGGTGGAGAGGGGAGGGTGGGGAGGGGCTGGGTGGGGGTGGGAGGGGTGGGGCTGGTCACCCCGTGGTGCCCTGATAAAACTCAACGTTTAACCTACTCACGCCGGCTTGTGCCCGCCCTCACAGTCGGCCATATTTGCGGAATACACCACGCCGCCGTTGACCCTGCCCATTGACCGAGCAACCCAACGTTCCTACCAGCTCCCTCCGCAGGAATGTGTTATACAATGTTAGTGGCATTGATCCCTGCGGTTGCACCCGATTCAAGAGCTGAATTGCTCACAGGGCTATACCAAATAAATGAAGCTGAAAATGACATTCCATAACCCAATGTATTTTACTTAGTAAAAATTCATGTTCTCATAGCACAATTCGTAGATGTAATGTGGCTACAGCTTATAAATGGCACAGCTTAGTGTTGCCATCTTAAACTACACACAACATTCAAGTAAAGTGGTGCATCAATACTTGCACTTGTTAAAATCTATTAACAACCAATCCGACGACTTCATGCAATGCCTACTTGTCTTGATTCAGGACTGATCCGACAGATATTTGTACGGGGGTGTGTTATCAAACATGAAGTGACTTTTTCTTGAATGCACTGTACCAAAGTTACTATAGGGCGAATATATTAATGACATTGTGATGAGTGTTAAATGTAACAAAATACCATGATAGACAATGCATCAAGTAAAGTTTCACACTTTGCTTTGTATTATGTTGCACCCCCAGCTCATTATATTTACCTGAACTTCAGCGTGACATTTGTGCGCAATACTTTACTGTATTTTATTTTGGACATTTCTTAAATAAACGTCACTTCAAAAGTACACTCTACAATCTTAAGTCTAATCTTAAGTCCCATGCTCTGTTTATGCGTAGATAAGCTGCACAACATGAACATATATTCCCAAATCAAATGTGTTAAGAGTGTTTAAATACATTTTACAGCAGTTATCAAATAAAGACATAAATACTTATAACTTCAAGTAATAAAATTACGAAAGCGGGTCTGAGTTGCACAAAAGGCTAGAACTGTGGGACTTTGTAAAATGGAGGTTTCAAAACTATGACCTGAAATATGGCATTTTCAGAATATAGACTGCATATAGTCCATACAAAATGACGTTATAAGGCACAGCATGGAGATTTAGATATGGGCATTCGTGAAGCAGGTTGCCCCTGATAAAATTAACCACTTCCCATATAGGAAATGCATATACAATTAGTGGGACATTTCATACTGCTCTAATGCAAAGGAAAAAAACAGACATGGTCTGCACTTAGTGTAATTTAATAATCAAGTCGTGTTATTATGTAGGATTCAAATATTCCGGGTTTAGTTCACTGCCTTTACATTTTATTCACTCTATTAGGTCCTTTCTGTGTTAGACCTGATTGCACTAACAATATGCAAAACAAGATGGATTTACTTCATTTTTACAGCATTAGAATATAAACGTTTGAGACATGTACACAACACATGAACAGGCAACAGAAAATATGCTGGAAACTAATGGGAAATGCCTTTTTCATGAACAAAACAAATGACACGAGTTGTGTAGACTTGTCCAGTGGGCTTGTTTTACCTGTTATACAGTAATGTAATAATTCCACGTGAAAATACGCGTAAAGGTGTGAAATAAAAACGTTATTATGCACGTGTACACCTCACTCTGCCTCTTGTGTTGTTGATAGCAGCTTCCCATTTTTTGCGGTAAACTGTCGTCCCGCACAAACGTGCACAGATACAGTAAGGCAGACAATCTTACACATAGTCAACATTTTACTCCAGGAAGGACATAACTCGATTATGCACAGCAAACAAAACTGATGCGCATGTTAGCACTGCTTGGAATTATTACCAAATTATTACTCTATTAGGTGTTAAGCAAAATACATGAAAGTTGAATTTAGGAGAAAATCTGTCACAGTTGTCCACATAAAATATGGTTATCAACAGCTGTACAGTAATTCACGAAGTATACACCATATGATCAAAATGCTGCTGTGGTGTAACAAATTAGCACATAGGGCTTACAAGGTTGCCAGTTTTATTCTATCTCCTGGTGGGGCAGTAGAAACCATGGGCACATTTCTTAAATGTACCACAGTTGGTAGATTGCCTGGTCGTGTGTGGTGGGATAAATTGTGGGTACCTCCACCTTTTCCCAAGATGTCTAGCTAGGGTGGAACAGTAATCCAAATGCCCTGTAGAGGGGATATTGAGCTCCAGCTAGTGGAGGCCCTTCCACCAGAAGTGGTCAGCAAGCAGTTGCAGAGCTACACTTTAAGCTTTACATAGGCTGTCATTTTGCTGATGAGACCATTGCAAGACTCATCTTGCAGACACCAGTTATGTTGTGACTGGATGTTTCAGTGTGGATAAAAACTGTCTAAAAAAGAAAAACAATTAAAGTCCGTTTTTATCATTGCATATTCATAGCAAGATGGCAATTTGAAGGTGGTTTTCAGATACTACATTGGTGTTCCAAATGTTTTTCCCTGACGGTTTCAACAAATCCATTAATGAGCAATTATACCCAAACAGATCCAAATACATTTCCTCAATATAATTAGTTCAGAGATGTTTCAGTCTGGGTTATAATGAAGACTTGCACAGGAATTGTATAGCTGTCCAATTAGGAAAACTAATATTTTGAAACACATTTTTTTCAATGACCTTCACTCCTGCCATGTGAACAAAGATAAATCCACCTTATATAACAAGCAACAATTCTGTTTATAAATGAAACCATTTTTAAAACCTGCCGGTTAAAGCCAAATTGATTAACAAATGGCGATGTAACAACATACCTCTTTAGCCGGCTTAACACAATTTATGTCTCGAATCTAACCTTATATATTCATTGGTGTGTAATCCGGTGTTTCATTATGTAACAAGGCTATGCGTATACTTTAAAACATAAATACCACTTATTTAAGAGAATGTACATCTTGGCAAAGCATAAACAAAAGTAGGTTATTATATAGATAACATTTAGTGAGCCAATTTAATATTAATGGCAATAATGTAGTTCCTTAGCAAATGTTATGGCTGAATCACTTTAGACATTAAGATATGCCAAAACGCTTTCATAGTCAATACACAATGGCATAGAATGCACAATATTAAATCTGAATAAAATATTAATCACGTGAAGCTAATCTACAACGGGGAATATACTGGATGTGCAAATCGGTGACAGCACCCATATTCACACCACAAATATAAGCAAAAAGATCGTGAGCAAATACAAATCTGAAGTAATGGCAATCCAGGATGATGGGGCACTACAAGAAAAAACACATTCCTGCGGAGGGAGCTGGTAGGAACGTTGGGTTGCTCGGTCAATGGCCAAGGTCAATGGCGGCGTGGTGTATTCCGTAAATATGCCCGACTGTGAGGGCGGGCACAAGCCGGCGTGAGTAGGTTAAACGTTGAGTTTTTATAAGGGCACCACGGGGTGACCTGCCCCTCCCCACCCAGCCCCACCCCTCCCACCCCCCACCCAGCCCCCCTCCACCCAGCCCCTCCCCACCCTCCCCTCCCCACCCAGCCCCTCCCCACTCTCCCCTCAGCCCAAAACCCCTCCCGTTTTTGGATGCACGACGGACGGACGGATACAATAATCCCCTGTGGGCTGGTATAACCAGGAGGTTCCTACCAGTATAATTGTTGCGTCATCTCACGGACCTGAAAATAATCGGCATTTAAAACTCTGCAAGTACATTAATCTAGATAAGCAAGTGAGACTGTGCATGTACAGGAAGGAAATGGATTGTGAATTAAGCAGTATATGGGGACAACAACTTAGACTTAAAGTGTGAGGCTAAGTGGACATCAGTGCCTCATCTAGATAGAAGCAAGACCTGATCTATAATAGATAAGACAACAATCAAGAAGAGAGCACAGGATAGCTCAAGCTGAGTGGTTTGAGACAAATTATTCATTATAGAAAATGGAATTTAATCTGCAAATTGCAAAACAAAAAAGCACGTGTCCCCGCAATGAAATTGAATAAAGTGCAATGCCAAGACATTTATGACATTAGTTGCTCACAAAGGGAGTCACAATGGAACCCTCTCAATCATGGAACAGTGGTGTGCATCGGGTATGTTGCATTAACTACAGTATGATATACCCGCAAAAACAAAATAAGCTGCGTCATGGTTATCCAATTAATACCTAGTAATTGAAGGCGTGATACGTGACACTAAAATAGTCCAATATACATGTTTAATCACACGTACCGTTATGTAACACAACATATTACCATAAACCAATTCTCAAAAAAATGACAACACAGTAATAAGTGGACTGTATAACAATTGCCATCATCTACTCAGGAATGCCTCAACTCAGTCTCAAGACCTTCTCAGGAAGGCCCTGTATTGGCTAGTTCCGTTGTAACAAAGCCCGGTGAAAACCCACGAATATGAGGGGGAAACACCACTTTGATCATCCTTGGCCGGGAATCGAATTCGGGTTCAAAGGTCGCCGGGTGAATGGCACAGATTGCGCAGTGCGCTAACCACTGCACCACCATTCCATCATAATTTGATCATTGAGATCATTCACCATTTAAGTATACAAACGGTCGTTTCTACCGGTAAGTCTCCATAACCGCCAATATATATTATTTTATCGTTACTTTACTTGCCATCTTGGGTATCCATAAAAAGCTTATCCCGAATGTACCGTGACTGACATCTGCCATCGGGCACTTTGGGGACACGGGCTGACAGATGACACCAATATGTTCAAACACCCAAACCCACTGGGCTTCGCAGCTCGGTATGCGGCAGTACAGCAAGTGGGTTGTGAATCTTTTCACGGAGAATCGCCTTTCTATCCACTCTTGAGCGTGAAAAATGGCCAAATATTAAAAAATGTTGTTAAAACTCAGGATTCCTGAATAAACAAACATTATAAGAAACGTCCATATATATATCCATGCTCAATTTAAAATGCTACGACAGCACATCGATGCTCAAATGTATTCTAAACATGCAATTTGTCTTAATTTTATTTTATTTAACTCGAATAAATTAGTGTATTTGTACACGAATGCCTCTTGCCCAATGCGCCCTCTGCATTTAACCAGCCAAGACCCATTTAGGAACAATCGCAAATGCAAATTCACACGAAGCTCGTCAAACTCGGCGTACATTGTGTGCATAATTTTACGACATTTGTTGGGTTACCCATCGGTGCAAACAAAAGCCCGTAAATTGAGTTGTACAAATTATAACCGCTACAAAAAAGCGCTCCATAGAGACGCACCTCCCAGGCACCGCCCTAACATTCCCTAGAGCGCATAGGCAACCCGCACCTCCATACGTGCCTCCCATTGGCTCGCAGCCCCTCACGTGATGCAACCCCACCCAATGGGGACGAAGCAACGACTTAAGCGCGCTATGAAATTCAATTGCTATTGAGGCTTCGTCTAAATTACTGCAAAATCCAACGTGAGGCGATCATTAAACGTCGACACGCAAATTACACAAAAACCCAACAACAAAAAACACCCAGCAAACAACTCAACGCGATAGCTGCAAACGTTGCTCAGCGATACGGTTGCACGTGCCTTTATCCGAAATAATAAAACAAACTTAATATTGTAAAATAAATTAACCGCGCTCCAACGCACCTGCTGCCGCCGCCGCCACCGCTTTGCCTCGCAAAGTGCGCGAGGGGGAGTCGCAGCCTCGCGCCGCGCTCACGTGACCCGGGGAGGGGGGGGGGGGCTTGGGTAGGGGGGAAGGGGAATAGGGGAGGGGTGGCATCGGGGACGAGGGGTGAGAATCGGGGGAGGGGGGGAATGGGGGAGGGGGGGAATGGGGGAGGGGGGGAATGGGGGATGATGTAGGGGGGATGGGGGGGATGGGGGAGGATGGGGGGAATGAGGGAGGAGGGGGGAATGAGGGAGGGGGGGAATGGGGGATGATGTAGGGGGAATGGGGGGGGGGGTGAATCAGGGACGAGGGGGAGAATGGGGGAGGGGGGGAATGGGGGAGGGGGGGAATGGGGGAGGGGGGGGGTGATGTCGGGGGATGGGGGGGATGGGGGAGGAGGGGGGATGGGGGAGGGGAGGAATGGGGGAGGGGGGGATGATGTAGGGGGGAATGATGTAGGGGGGATGGGGGGGATGGGGGAGGAGGGGGGAATGGGGGAGGGGAGGAATGGGGGAGGGGGGGATAATGTAGGGGGGATGGGGGAAATGGGGGAGGGACGGGAAATGGGGGAATTGGGTAGGGGGGAAGGCGAGGGGGGAATAGGGGGGAGGGGGGATAGGGGAGGGGTGGAATCGGGGACGAGGGGGAGAATGGGGGAGGGGGGAATGGGGGATGATGTAGGGGGGATGGGGGGGATGGGGGAGGGAAGGGGAATGGGCGAATTGGGTAGGAGGAAGGGGTATACGAGTGGGGGGGGGGGTGAAGGGGGTGTGGTGGGCGACGCTCACAACAACGAGCGGAGCGCCGGGCGGTTAAAATACGGCAATTTGGCACAGTAGGGGGGATACAGCTGGTGGTGCAAAGACCGGTCATCTCAGTCAGCCAACCCATGGCACCTGCTGGGTCTATCCCGTGACCTCCTGCGAGCAGCGAGCCTTCGACACTTCACGTGGCCTCAAATTGGGCACCTAGCCTGGCACAGGCTAATATCCGGCGAATGGCGGATATTGGTATTGGCGTTAGCGTAGTGAAGGGACCGCTGCTTAACTGGTCCTGTGGAAGCAGTTTAACACGCGGTAGGCTTACGCGACCAATATCCATAAGTAATATAGACTTTTTTTGGGGAGGGTCAGATCGCATGAATATAAATGTTCCCGAAGCGGGAGGATTTCTCCAACAACAGAAAGATTTCTCCACAACTCTGTAAATGTTTCAGGTTATTGGTAGACTGGAGTAGGTGGCATGTGGGGTTTACTCTCCAACACATCGGTGTGCTGAACTAGTGACAAACCTTACTAATTGACTGTGTCGGATGGTGTCGGGTGGTGTCTGGTGGTGTCCGGTTTAATGACGCATTTATATTTACGCGATCTAACCCAAAAAAATGCATTCTGGGCAGTTGGAAGCACTCGCCCCTCTAAACAACAACGGAGGGCAAAGGAGCGACGCTCACAACAATCGAGCGGAGCGCCGGGCGGATAAAATACAGCGAGGTTGGCACAGGAATGGAGGCAACAGCTTGGCGCCAGTCATCTCAGTCAAGTCAACCCATGGTGGCCCCTGGGCAGGGACGTGCGGTCAGGGGAGACAGGGGAGGCAGAGCCTCACCTGCCATACTCCAATGAAAATAGCTGTTACTAAAAAAAATATTAAGATTTTTCCACTGATCTGTGTTATAAATGTCATTTCTATACGATTCCAATCATTTTTATAGTCAAAATCGCCAAATCTGTGGAGCTCCGCTGCAAATACAGGAAGAGACGAGAGGTGAGGCAGCGACGGGCTCAGCCTCCCCTCTGATTGCGCAACCCCTCAGTAACTGGATGGAGCGCGGGCAATAAGCGCGTGCCTGTTACTATCTCAGTATGTCACCAATGTAATGTTTGTAGACCCCTTCATGTCCTTGCCTTCCATACTCCAGGTAACTAATTTCACGTATGTGTATAAAGATATTTAGGCTCGCTGGTCTCATCATGAAACTGCAATGAAAAAGCACCAGGGGAGGCAGCTATCACATCTGCCTCACTGAGGGGGACGTGTCTAACACGCCCCCTTAGTGAGGCCACGCCCCCCTCAGTGTGTGAATCTGGCTCTGACACTAGCCAGTGCCTCCCCAGCCATTGACCTCACCGCACGTCACTGCACCTGGGTCTGGTCCAGTTGACCCCCCCCCCCCCCCCACCGCACTGTCAGTGAGCCTTCGACACTTCACGTGGCCTCAAAGCGGTGCACCTGGCCTGGCACAGGCGCGGTGGTGACGTCACCGTCACTTGGTGGCGAATGGTGGGTCCTGAGTTGCTATTGTGAGTTAAGTAAAGGAAGGTGTGGGCTGTCTTGAGCAGTGGTTCGTCTTAACCTGGGGTGCATGCCACCCCTGGGGGGTGCGAGATGCCCTTTCTGGGGGGTGCGAGACGTGGCCAGATTTTGTTTAAAAAGGTAATAATCGAAAACACAAATTAGGCACGGGCACGTAAGTACAACTACTTTGTTTCATGAAACCTCCGATGTATTGATTAACATTATGCATATTTTTTTACGATTGAGAACCAAAAGGGGTTGTAAAGGCTGCAGTGAAGGTTGAGAACGACTGGTCTGGGAGATTGCAGGGACCGTCAAGGGGCGGGGCGTTAGTGGGGGGCGGGGCTTGAGGGAAGTGGGGGGGGGGCATGTAGGAAAAGGGGGCGGGGCAAGTCTGCATCTACGGCAGGGGTCGGCAACCAAAATAACAAGAAGAGCCATTTCTTTCCAATTCGGTACAAAATTCAGTATTTCAAGAGCCGCAATGCATCTGAGTACATACGTACTCATCGTCAAGAAGCAGCCCGTAAAGAGCCGCATGCGGCACCGGAGCCGTAGGTTGCCGACCCCTGATCTACGGTAATCAATAAATACATATTGCTTGGGTGCTAAACTACCCGAGTCGAGCTCTGTGATGTTCAGTGTTTGGTCAATTATATTATATGCACATGAATAATAATCTCTCGAGTAAGTATAAAGTCCAAGCGTGACCCTTACATCCGCACACTTTGGCAAATAGGTTAATTGACGACTTTAACTCTTTGGTTCTTTCGGTAAAGTCACGTAGAATGGAAATAATAAAATAATAAAAAACCCATAATAAAATAATTATCACAACGCAAGTAGCCGTCCTCAGGTGGAGAACAGGTCTGTCGAGGAGACAGAGTCTACGTGACTTTAACGAAAGAACCAAGAAGATGAATCCCTGCAGTCACGAAAGCTTTAAATCGAAATTTTGGCTTTAACTCTGATGAGTGTCAATATGACTCAGCCGAACCACGTGTGATCTCAGGGGCCGTCCATAAATGACGTCACGCACCTGGGGGAGGAGGGGTCAGACATTTATGACGATGTGTGACGAAGGGGGGGGGGGGGTGAGAAATGTGACGTCACATCAAAATGCGCAACTTTAAATATAGACAACACGTTCTACTTAATTAAATAGACTTTTTAATAAACGTTTTGTCCTACAACATCAGAGTGCAGCGCCACATTAAATACGCAATATAATGACAATAGTTTCAAGCGATTTAAAGCATGTTTTATTTGGGGAGGGGGGCAGAGCTTTGTGACGTCATATTTGAGGGGGGGTCTGACTTTTTGTGACGCCGTGTGACGAAGGGGGGTCAAAAATCGTCCAAAATCGCGTGACATCATTTATGGACGGCCCCTCATTCATAATTGTGAAAATGGAAAACATTTATCTTTTTCTGGGAGCTCAAAGGTTAATTGTTACCATGCAGATGTCTCATTGTTTCATGTCTCGTATAGTAGGAATACTATTCTATTTGATTTGTGTTTAAAAAGCAACATTGTCCATCAATTATTATAATACAGCACAAGGTTCCCTTTGCAAAGGACAATTATATTGCTATCTCGCCTTTTGCTCGTCCAAGGACGGGTGTATTGCAGTAAATCTGAAACTTACAAGCGAAAAGCAGACCGCGACGTGATATTCATTGCATCAATTCGTGTGCAATTTGTAAGACCGTGGTGACACAGACCTATTGCATTTTAAGGTTACAATCCCTTGTTCATCATGACGTCTTTTTACTTTGATGTCTCAACAGCGTTACGGAGAGCACGTGACGTGAGGGTTCTGCCTTTGTAGTGAGGGTTGTCAGTTGACGCCGAGGAGGGGGGAGGAGGCGCCTCGCCCCCCCCCCATGTGGAGTGACGTCACCCGCTAATTAATATTAATAGAGGGGGGGGTGTCCATTTGGAGGGCGTCACCTTATAATGATTATTAATGAGGGGGGCTGGTCGACGTGGAGTGACGTCACGCGCGTTACACACATATATTTGGTTAAATATAATAGTAAATAACCTTTGCATGCATAATTAACATCAGCTATGGTCCATCCACTGCTGGATGGAGGCCTCCCCAAGCCGTCGTTACCTCTCACGATCCTGCAAAAATCATCCTTGCACCTTCACACGAATTGATTTCTCGGATGCGTTCCATTCGTTACATTCATTAATGCAATATATCGGTATCGTAAGCGAATAACTATGCGGTAATTAATACATGCATTCAGGATATATTCTTTACATGTCCACCGACAACGTAAAAGGCACAATCAAAGAGGTCAACACAATGGATGAGGACATAACTGGGCTCATTACCTGCCCTCTTATTGATGATGGTCGTTAAGGACTGCAGAGGCTAATGGCACGAAGATGTGTTTTGACGTTAACCACATCCAGCATCATGTGCTGTGCACACCATTTGCGCAGAGACAATGTGGACGCAGCTGCGCCTGCTTGTTACACTTCGGGCGAATTTACTCACTCACACGTGCGGTGGTCTCAAGGGCAAACAACCTCTCTCCTATCCCGCACGACAACAAAAACAAGAACGATCACAGTTTAGAAAATGGGAAGCCTCACTGTCCTGTCCTTGGGCAGACATTTTAGAACGGCGAATTTATTTTCAAATGTATTTAAGATACATTTGAAAAAGGTTGGCTCAGAGGTAAAGAACCTTGAGCTGGGCACCGCAGAGATCCATGGTTTTGAATACAGGCTGCTGCCCTTGATTAACGAGGGGTT